AAGCTGCTTCAGATGACACTTATTTCATGTCGAAAGGCCACTGCGAGTTCTGACACTTCCCTTGTAAGACCGATATTCTGAGAAAAGGCTATCTTACCCTCCCCCCTCTTCCTTCCCCCACAGACCGATAATTACAGGAAGCCCTGCCCTATGGGGGATCAGCAGATATTCCAGATTACAGATCTACAGCCCCTACAAACTGTATTGCCCTACGAGGCACTCACGTATAATCTGCTCTATGGACAGCCAAAGACCGAAGTCTTGAGAAAGAAGCTGCCAGCTACTTATTGTTAGAGGCCTACACAATGGTATTTTGAGGAGGAACCGCCCTTTGAACCTATATACAACCAATATTTTGTGATAAAACTGCTCCATGGGCCACCTACAAACCATAATTTGAGAAAGGACTGCCTTATGGGATTTTACAGACCAATATTTCAAGAAAAATTGCTCTATGTGCCGCTGCAAATCGATAATTTCTAAAAGGAGCGGCCGAGCGGGGAGGGGGGGGGCTTGCCAACGATAATTTGTAAAGAATCGCTCCATGGGCCTCTTGCAGCATTTTGGGAAATAACCGCTCTATGGGCGCTCACAGACCAATATATCAAGAATTGAGCTGGAAACCCTCAAACCAGTATCTCGAAAAAAATTGCAGCCGTTCAAAGACCGATATTTGAGAAAGAGCGCTTTCCGAGTCCCTTATGAATTAGTCTTCTGAGAGAGAAAAAATAATTAGAACAGGTTACAGTATATCTACGCCTCATACAAACCAACTTTCACAAGTAACTCCTCTACGCGCCGCACACAGACCGACAATTTTAGGAGGTGCCCTAATCGCTTATACATCAGCATTTTGAGAAACAAGTACGAGCCTAAAAAGTGCCTGATGAGAAGCTTATGGAACGATAATTGTATGACGATTCTACGAGCCCTTCCGCTCCTCTTCAAATTCATATCTGAAAAAAAAGCGCATTATGGTCCACCTTTAGAACTATAAATATGAAAATGAAATGTTCCCCTTGCGGACCGATACTTTGAGAAGGAACCACCCTACAAATAACCGCTAACTGGATAATTGTCGAAAAAACTCCTCAGGGGAGCTTACAGGTCAATATTTTTAGTAGAACTGCCTTACTGGCACCTACAAATCAAGAAAGAGCCCTATGAACAGATTAAGCATTGAAAGATATGCCCAATGAACAGCGAACAGACTGGAGTTGTGAGAAATGATTGCAGAGACCTATAAGAATAGCCTTACGACTTACCAACTTATTTCAAGAACAGAGAACTGCCCTCATCAATTCTCACCAACTATGCCAGCTATGAACTCTAACTAATTATGGGCAGCCAAGAACTTAAGCGGAAAATGAAAATGTGAGCAGTCGAAGGGTAAACGTTGAGGAACTATTAAAGCATGTCTACGCTAGACAGCGAGTTCCGAATCATTCATACCGGCAGAGTTCAAACTTGCGAAAGAAGGGGGGGGGGTACTGTTAGCAACCTTACGAGAGTGTCGGCCCCTTCCCAACTATAGCCTTTTTGCACTTAAGAACCGCACCCCTTTTGGACGCCTTCCTCGAGGAGACTGATATTTACCACCCCCTGTACCCCTACGAAAACACGCTAGCCTTGTAGACAATCTGCACCCTCCGCACCCTCGGCAATCACTCGCCTCAGTCCGCAACTTGTCAACATGTAAGTGCAAAACCTTGCCATTCTTTATTATAGAATGATCACGGTGGTACTTAGCGAACAGCTTTTCGCTCAAGCCAAGCATGCTAAATTCAATATACTCAAGTCATGCATGCTCACACTAAAGAAACTTCAAATAATGAATATCCAAGCTTTTTTGAAATGCTGGCAGCGTGAAAATCTCTTAGCGCTTGATATGTGAGTAAGTTTTTTGTAAATGAAAAAATGATTTTATACGCCCTAGCCTGTTACATAACAATTTGTACTGCCTAAAGGAATCACTCCAGTTCTTTAGTGAAAAAACGAAATTTTCTTGTTGTTTTGCGCATGAATAGGAAATCCGCGTCTCGAAACTTGCAAGGCACCATCAAGAGCAACAAGCGTAACAGAATGGCTTACCTTCGTAAGCAGATGCACTTCAGGGCATAGAATCGAAATGGCAGATGATGACCCGAGGAGCTGCTTAAACGTTGACGGCGATGTCCTTCTGTCTGAGCGGCACTTGAGCGTAAGCGAAGAGCGGCGTGAAGTCCAGGGCGTGCAGCAGCGATTCACCTCCACGATAATTCAATCGCGAGCGGGCCCCGTCGCGTTTTAATATTGTGCTGATTGAACAAAGTCAAGGATGGCCGTTTTGATGACTTGGGACGAAATGAACTAGCACGATTAGGCGGTGGACTTGCAGTGGAGTTTCTGGTCAAGCAAATGATGCGAATGACGAGCACCCGCGCTTTTTCCTGTAAAAAATGGGACACATTTTTGTTGTCATGTCAACGAGTTTATACCATTTGGAGCAGAATTTATTCGACAGGATTCTAGAAATTGCAGAAGCAACAAATTCGAATAATTGTGATATAGGGAAAAACAGCCCAACAGACTAGAATGCATTCAGTTGGTCGTTTTTGAATTAATAACGAGTTAAAAATGTTACAGATGGTCGTCACATCACTTTCTTAATTTTCTAGAACACAGCGCGTGCTGTTTTATTGTCTTCAGCAAAGAAGATTATGATAATCATGGAAACGATGAAGTTCCAGCTAACACGCCCTAAAGAGTTTTGTATTCCTTTCTTTTTTAAAAATATTGTGTTTTGAATGAGCTTGGTGCTCACAGATGTCTGGTCCCATCTTTTCTAGTTTTCCAAACACAGTCTAGGACGCTACGTTTGAGGTCATGACGCTAATTTTTTGATTTCAAATATTTCTAGGGGTGTAGTCCCAAGAAATTTTACACATTCTGAGTCAATTGACTCAAGTTTAGGGAATGTAGTTTTATGCGGAGTTTGTTTCAACGTATAGGTTGGACTTTTGATACCCCGTTCAATTACAACATTTTGAAAAGTTATCGAACATTCTAAAGCAAAATATACGGTCTGGCAGGAACTTTGAGTTAAATATCTGGGCTAAGAATGAATCCTCTGAACGGCCGCTGGGGCAGTGGCTCAAAGCCTTTCAATCGGTTTTCACTTTAGGAACAGAGATATGTGAATTTTTTGTGGGATTTGCGCTCAAAAATTTTTTAGTCAGATATCTACTTAGGAGCAGTAGAAAGTGGGCAACAACACTCAATCTGTTTTCTGGCTTTTATATTTGATTCTGAAAAATTGGAATTGATGTATGAAGTCACTGCGATGAGCTTTATGTCAAAAACAGTTTGCAGAGCTTGCTCAGTGTAAAATATATGAGCCACTTGCGCATCTCAGAATTTGGAGAAAATTTGCTTCCTTCTTCGATTTCGGTTAGTCGAAAAGAGGTCTCCATAACTCTTTTGGATCTCAATATTTACTCACATTATGTTGCTAGTTTGCTAAAATAGTCTTCTTACTGTTATGACCATCAGGAAAGAATTTAGTAAGTGGAAAAAGCAGAATCGTTTGATACGGATTCTATTGGTCACAGTAAGACATGAGTGAGAGCCAATTATAGAAGGTAAAGCGGTAAAAATAAAGCTCGAGGATGGGTTTTAGTCACCATAATGTATTAATTTCAAAAATTCAATGAAGCTTGGGATAGTTAGATGAATGGAGGGCGAGACCAGAGCGTGGCAACAATAAAACGCACTTCTCATCCACTTCAATTACGAACGCAGCCGTGGAACTCGGTGTCAGAAACGGCGCATAAAGGCGCCGTTCCAGGCTATGACTAGAGTTAATCAAATCTCTTTCTGCCTGGGCTTTGTTCTTTTTTTCAATCAAATAATGTAAAATTTCATAGTAAAGGAAAGGGTTGACCACTTTTGGAGGGAAATATGAAGGTAACATAGGCAAGAGATTATTTGGCTGAGTGAACAAGTGGGCAAGAAAAGGCGTCAACATGAACTTTATTGCTCGAATTCATTTTGTATAAATTTTTGCGTCTAAGTTGCTGCTGTGAATTGCATGGGTGTAAAGTACATAATGTATTCACAGATGCATAATAGGGTGTGTGGTATTTCGTAGTCGGTGAAGTATAAAGTACTCTTGAAGCGAAGGAGAGCAGATTCAAGCCTTTTGGTGGCGGGCTAAATTTTTGCGGCTTAGATGCTAAAGTGCCTGTAATTTCGGCAGTAACTTAGCGCAAAAAAACTTCATTCTTGTAGCTGACTGGAAGCAGTGGAAAGCATGACTATAGAATGTGAAAACTCAGAAAATGAAGCGATTTGACTTTGCTTTAGTGGCGACAGCTAGAGGGTGACAAACAATCCTCGTCGGCTTGTCGAGAGTGTCGAGCTGCTCGGGGCAAGCAATTCGAGATTTGGCAATTGGTTGAAAATCGCGCGGTGTGGGAAAGTGTGAGAACGGAGATGATGGACGCGCCTGCGGCTGTAACCATATAGTTCTTCGGTTTTTCTCTTCGGAAATGTCTTCTTTTAAGGCCCAGTTATATCACAATTTCGCCTACTATTTCGCATACAGTAGAAATTGGTAGTGGTGAATTACAGTATCCTCTCCTTCAGAATTGCGCACATACGGTGCTTGCCATATGCTCTTCTCTGAAGCTTTTGAATCTTTTCCCAGCCTTGAGAAACTTCCCGATTGCCAAATTTTGCCATCACTCATAGGATGCTCTTCTCATATCTCAGGGAAAAGTATAAATGCTTTTTCTAGTATATTTCTGCATATTTATTTACCCTTGAATAGTTCCATCAGATTCGCTATTCTTCGAAAAGCTCTATAATCTTGCTGGAATATGCTCGTCTTTGTCCTTTGACTTCCACTCCTCGTCTAAAATTCTCTATTTGCCTGCTTTCTAGAAATCTTATGATTTCGAGAGTGATGCATTTTTGCTGAAGTTTGAAATTTTTACCGATTTATATCTGTTTTTTTTCAGATTCATCAATTATGTCAATGAAATTTGCCAAAATCAAAATCAGCGACAAACATCCATAATTAAAGCTGTCCAGCATGTGAGTTTAGAAGCTTTTGGTTTGTATTGAAATTTGCTTTGTCACTTGTTCTTCTTTTCTATCTTTGTCGTTTGGTCTGCATCTTCGCAAAAAATTTAGGGAAGAATTTTTTAATTTTTGGGACTTGTTTCATTCATGACATTTAGTGCTCTTTTGCTCACTTTGATTCTGATAAAAACACTTGATATTGCCATTTTGTTTCCTTCAATATCTGGTCTTGTTCATAAATCATTCTATATGTTCACTAATTAGCCAACAAAGTGTTTGCTTAGCTTGGCATTCCATCATGGTTGGTGGAAATCCGACACAACGCGTCACATTCCCACGTGCCTCCGATAGGAACACTTCGAAAGGCTTTCCAATTCTGCCGCCAATGGCTATGGGTAGGCAAAATACATGTTTACGAAGTCTGTATTTGCACTTGCATTAGATAAGACGTTTTGAAAATTTCAGGACAATTTTTGGAGTCGACAACCGTACGAAGCGATGCGCTCAGCTGGAGCTGTAGATAAGAGAAACGATGTGGTAGCTGCTGAAGCTGAATTGAGGGATTTGAGAATACACAACGCGATCGTGGCTTATGCACTGTGGAGAAATGTTGTAAGGATATACTCGAGTACTCCAAAATTTTCTAAAACCTCCCGCCCACAGATAGTAGCTCGCCAACAGCTTAAATCATAAATTTGAAATTTGTTTGGTCCCCATAAAACTGCAGGGAGATATGCAGGATTTTGAATCAGTAAAGCTTGCGAGGAGTTTTTTTTTAACTAAAGAAAACTAAGATTTGGACAACAAGACTGCGCTGTTGGATAGAGTTCTTCGAGAGTTTTAGGATGTACAGATTTCTTCTGGAGTTTGTTCTGTTCTTGCAGTTTTGCTGAAACTAAGTAATTTTGACATCGATTTTTCAAAAAAACGTACTTATTCACAAGAATTTAGGTTAATACAACAAGTCGAAGCAGGTTTCTAGAAGTTCAGGAATTGTCTAGGTTCAGTGAATGCATAATTTCCATTGAAAAATTTTGCATTCTGCAGAGCATTTAGCAATTTTTTTGTTTTTGAAAAATTCACGTGGCTTGCCTTTTCCGACAGCATTCTCAAAGAAATATGCGACTGAACAAACTTCCTAAGCATAATGTCAACGTAATTGCTTGATTTACATTGCTTTTAGAATAATTTAGAGTCTTAGAAGGTTTTTTTCTGAAAGGGGGCACATGTGATTTATAGAGTTTTTAATAAGTTCATTTTGAGCGGTTTGCTGCAATCAAATACAGTTTAGCTTGATTACAAAGTCACCAGAGGCTTCCAACATTTGTAATTTATCTCTTCAATGATTTATATGCTTTTTAGAATAATGATGAATCAAATGATGGAATGGGAGAACGACCGGTAGTGGAACTACTACGATTTGTCATGCAACAACCCTTGTAAGTTTTTTTCTTTTCCCATAATAACAAATGAATATATAAAAAATTTCAGCGATTTTCTCAAAATGTTTGTATCGGATGGTTTCCTGATTATGACAGACTCACAGCTGAAGCGAGCCGATTTCAAAGTGAGCATAGGTAAATATCTTTTTCGTTCCACATTTTGGGAATCTGCATCATCGCCTTTCTGGTATCGTTTTCCATATTGTTTGCTTATAGGCTGGAGTATACCACTATCGTTGCAATTATATTGGAAACCAGTGTTTATTATGATCTATGAAGCAAAAGTGGTGAATGAACTGCTGATTAATGTAGGTTAAAATAACGTGAGATTCATTACACACCCCCTATAACATTTTGATCGTTATTGATTTGATAAAGCCGAATTTTTATCATCGTTTAATTGGAAATAATATGGTCATGGAAAATTTACTAAACATGAAATAGTTCTATTTTTTTCGTATGTTATGGAAAGACTTCAACTATAATATATTAGGTTGTCCGAAAGTTCTTGCGCATCATTTTCAAAAAATCATAACTTCCTTGACACTCGATGGATTTCGTTGGTATTACATGTATTCGAAAGAGGAATCCATGCTCTTTACAGCAGTACCTTCGGCATGAATCACTCTGGAAAACTTCGAGAGTTAGAAGCAGTTGAATAAAATAAGTCAAGATTGGCATTTTTCGAGCTGGGTCACGAAAAATTCTGAAAGTATTTTTATTTGATAGAGAAAATTATGCTCATTACAATGGTACCTTTTTCATGAATCAAAACGAAAAAGATCGAGAGTTAGGAGCGAATAAACAGAATTTCTTCAGTTTTGCAATTTTTGAGCGCTCAAAAAAGCCTTAAAACGTCACAGAAAAGGCGGAAAAGTCATGAACATGGGTTTTATGACCTTCTCTTTCTAGCTAAATGAAAATCGTGCTAATCGAGAGCAATTTTGATTTTCGTGAAAAACGCAGGCACGAAAATCCGAAAAAATCACGAAAAACAAAATGGCTCCCGATTGGCACGATTTTCGCTCATCTAGAAAGAGTATGTCACAAAACCCATATTCATGACTTTCGCGCCTTTTCTGTGACGTTTTATGGCTTTTTTGAGCATGCTCAAAAATTGCAAAAATGAAGAAATTCTGTTTATTTGCTCTTAACTCTCGATCTTTTACGTTTTAATTCATGAAAAAGGTACCATTGTAATGAGCATAATTTTCTCCAAATAAAAATACTTTCAGAATTTTTCGTGACCCAGCTCGAAAAATGTCAATCTTGACTGATTTTATTCAACTGCTTCTAACTCTTGAAGTTTTCCAGAATAATTCATGTCGGAGGTACTGCTGTAAAGAGCATGGATTACTCTTTCGAATACATGTAATAACGAAATCCATCGAGTGTCAAGGAAGTTATGATTTTTTGAAATTGATGCGCAAGAACTTTCGGACCAACCTAATATTTTAAATTAAAAGGTCGAATAGTCGCAACCACACATTTTGATTTATACATAAAATACCATATGGAATTGTGGAAATAGCTAATTACTCGTCAGATGATGGAATTCAAAAATTTGCACTTTTTTCAGTTACTCAACCGGTTATCCTCGAACGAAAATGCTCCACAGATTGAGTTCCAGCTTGTGGCATGGACAAAGTTCTTCTTGGAGCCTTGTATCCAAAGTCAGTCAGATTTTTGATCATTCTGAACCTCTTCCTATAGTCAGTAGATCATCGACTCAAGTAGACACCATATAAAATGTTATCGCAGCAATCTCAATTTTTAGCCGAAAACGACGTGATTACACAATCGGATTGGTCAAGAATTTTGCATAAAATGGTAGCGGCAACTGGCCACTTTGACGCGCCTATTGTTGAGTCGTAAGTTTGTGGACTTCGTTTTTTACACCTTATACAGCTATTTTCAGGGTCATGGCAAAAGTGCCAAATTTAAGTGAGAAACGCCGTCGTCAAGTGCGTAGAATCATGGATATAACACTGTCTGAATCGTTGTGTGCGGTCGATGATTCAATGAGCGTTCGAACTTTGGAGGATTTACAGCGGCTGATCAGGAAAGGTGAAACATTTCCTTTATTCTTTGGTGGAAATTTGAAAAACGAGTATTTCTAGACAGAGAAAATGTGTCCAGCTCGGGCACTACATCAACTAACAGATTTACATTGTGTGATGGCGAAGAGTGGTGTTCAGTACCATTGGGGCTACTCCCCGGTGCCTCTGTGGACACTTTATCACTTATACTCGATGATGATTGGTTCTTAGCTCAAAAGCGACACACAAGTGAAAATCTTGATCTCAGTGTGATTGAGGAGGAGCATTGACGCTATCCTCGTTGTTATGCTCTAGGTTGCATGGTTGTTACGTTGTTATGATGATTCTGTGATGATTATTATGATATATTCTTTCTAATAAAATTATCAACAAATTCATAGCTGTTCTTAGAATTTGCAAGGTATTTCTTATAACTCACCGTCAAGCAAATCTGGGTGACCGGATTTTGATGTAACTGGTTGGAAGAAGGTGGTGGGAGGGAGGGGGTCACTTAAAGGCAGTGTCTCACCAGATTTAGAGAATACCAGATTTTCACGAAGTTTATTGGAGGACACCCTTACTAGGCCAATGCCCAAATCCCACTTTATAAGGCCTTTCCTACATCGAGAAAATTCGGCTCAAAGTGGCTCGCGGAGCGCATTTCGGCTGGCGCTGGACGAATTCTCCGTTCCTCTAACCCGTTTCAACACGTCTTTCCAGGCGACGCCATCCTTCTTGACGTGTTTTTTCTGTGGCCAGAACTGGAGTGAAGCGGGAAAGATCTTCCGCGTCGCTTCTAAAGGGGTTTCGAAAAACGGGGTTTCCGGGGTTTTTGCGCAAATTAGAGCCCGTTTAGGGTTACACAAGGTCGAGAAGACTTGTAATTTGCAAAAATCCCGAGATCCAAATTCTAGTGAGACACTGCCTTTAAGTCGTTGTCCAAGGAAAAAGTCTCGCCTACCGTACTGAGGAAGGACAGTGATTGCTGCACTCGGAGTGAATACGGTAGGCGCGACTTTAAAATTGAATTTTCGAAAAGCTATGGTATCTAGATCTGCTTGGACACTGGCTAAAAGTAAAAATATGGTTGAGCTTTTTATTCCAGAGTTTCCAACGCTGCTATTCTGATCCGTCTTTTAAAGAAAAACAAGTAATAAATTCATCGAACGGTAGGACGTAACTCCATGCCGACAGACCGGTTTTTTTTTCTACCAAATACTCACCCTTGGAAATATTGTAATTCCTCATGGATTGTCTCTTGAAAGAATCGCCAAGCTGGCCCGAAAATTTCGACGCACCGAATTTTAAGTAAAATTGCTTGCTTCCTCTTTGCAAAGGCTTGCACTTATCTGAAGGGAGCATACCCTTTATAACAGCATCTCGAGGAAAGAATTCTTGATAACCGCGGCCATACTAAATAGGGTTATATCACGAGTGCGTTTCAAAATGATTCCAAAAGTGTCCTTACTATTTGCGAAGCAGTTTCCTGAGAGAAGCCAGCAACGTTTTCAAAACATTATACACTGTTAAATAGTTACCAATACCAATGCTGCTCTAGTCTTTCTTTACTGTCTGAAGCTACCGAAGAATATCGTGGACAAAGTACTCTCGATTTAGACTTATTCGGATTTGACAGTTGAAAAGGCAAGAAAATTTTGTATCGATGTTGTTGACTCCACGCAGTACATGCTATTGAGGCCACCGTTGAAAACAGCGGTCTAAACGCGATGTCGCGCCCACTTTCGCAAATTCTAGGTCCATTTTTTCCATTCAGACACAGCCAGGATTGGGCTAAGGCAGATGTCCCACTCCTAGAGCGTGTAAATTGGGTACTAATCGGGAAGCATAGATTTTGCCTGGACGCTGCCTGTAACATTGTAGCACGAACATTATACAAGTCGCGAATAGCTAAGTGCGATATGACTGGAAAGCTTGCTCATAGTCACCGTACACCAGGTTCTCGACGTCCATGTTTTGATCGTTCCGGGGCCTTCTCATGTCTCTAATTTTATCCCCAAGTGGCCGGTGCCGAGCTGGGGTCCTCATGCCTCCTCGTTATTCGAAGCGATTTTCTCGATTCCTAAGCGCCATTTTGCGCCTGAACTTGGTTGGCCTGATAGGGGGCCCTACTGTTGAGCTGCCAAAAGCTCAGGAACCCTAACTTAGGGTGGACAGTGCCTTCAAGCAGCCTATAAAACTCTTCCGTCGTAACTCCAAGTAAAGCTCATCCCAAATTCATGACCATTTCTCTTGATACAAATGGGAATTTGAAAATTGAAAGAAGTTAACCTGTCAGCCAAGGAACATCATCGTTCGAACTCTCAACCATGAGTTTCATTCCAGTAATGTAGTATGCGGAGTTCGTCGTTCACCTTTTTCTGCATATGCTACTTTGTCATTGCCGCAATGGGACGGGACGATGACGACGACGGAAACGGCAACGGTAACGGCAACGGACAAGAAAACGGCGGCGACGATAAAGGAGAGGAAAAACCCAAAGAAGAGGAAGAAGAAATAAAGATAGAACTGAACAAAGGTATAAAGTTTGAACTCGCTGATTGTCTTGCTTGGTTCAGTGTCTGACTTTCAGAGTTCAGCCCTAATCCGGAATTTCTGCCTCGAGCGGTTACCTACCTCTCCCATAAATTTCCATTGCGTGACGATAGCACTTTTTTTACTTTTGGCTGGGATGAGAAGAAATCAAGGAAGGAGTAAGTGTTGCTACCGTAATAGTACAGTAACAGGGCAACCTCAAGAATTTTTTTCTAAATTTGTTAGCCCTTGTTTTTTAGTTTTGTCATGTTAGTGAAAATCTTGCAGTACGGCCTTTCTAAATATGGAAAAAATCGGCTACCGTAATCCTACAGAACTCTAATCTGAGTTGTAGCAAATCGCCAATTCCCATCCTTTGACCTTTAAAAAATGTTTTTCTTGTGTAAAAATCTTCAATTGCTTACACTAATGACTAAAATAAATCCTGTTTCAGTGGTCTCTTCAACATTTCCAAATTAATGCCTTTCATGTCAGAGTGCGTATTTTTTTTATTCACATGCAAGCGGAAAAAAAATGTTCTAAACACTTTTTTCACAGAGAAGTTGGAAACAAGGATCATGGGCATCCCATATACGACGAAATGTTTTTCCATCGTCCTTTCTGGAGAGATGCACCAAGTCACTTGCATGAAGATGAGCTCATGGATATTGAACGACTACCATCTTTTCACTTGTCTAACCCAGCACTAAGAAGAACTGAGTATAACAAAGAGAGGTCAAAATAGACAAAAAGAGTATGGACAGAGTGAGAAAGTCTCTAATTCAGATGTGAAAATGAAATCTACCAAGATTACAAAGGCACAAGAATCATTCAAATCTATCTTGAAAAAGGATTTCCTCTCGAAGTTTGCAGAAAAAACTCCTTTGACGTGACTGACAAATAGTCATTTATTTTCAGGTCCCTTGCTATACATGCCAGATAAATCAAACGGGCTTAACTACGGTTTACTACTTACTTCCTTCTAGGTAAGCAACGGTAGTAAAAAAGTTTGAATTTTGACGAATAATTATTTTGTTCAGGAATTTTTTAACCGATATTGAGCTACATGAGAGAAGGGAAAGATTTACAACTGGTAAAGGCTCTAATGTTGCAACTCCAATAAATTCTTGGCTTCTACATATGATCAAAAACCATCAATCCCATGAGGATCAAAGTTAGCAATCTCCAGATCTTCTGTTGAAATCGTTAGGAATTTTATGAGCGCCTTCGTTCAGAATATGATGCTCAATTTGTATTTGGTGCCAGTCGTGCATCTGGAGGACATACATCTGGAGAGCAACAACAGATATTGGCCGATGACACTGGACATCTACAGGTTTGGAACAGATTTAATTGCGGATTATATCTTGAAAAATTCTTCCCGCCAGATGATCTGACTCCATAATCCTTATTGATATACTCTCCCTGGGATTTATTTACTTTTTGAGGGGGCATAAGGTTAACTTGATGGGAGCTAAATTTTTTGAAGATTTCCTACAAAACGATGTTGACCCTTTTGGAAGAGCAACTATTCGGGGCCCGTCATACTTCGCCGAAAAAAGCCCAAAAGCGCCCAAAAAAGCCCGAAAAAACCCAAAAAAGCCCGAAAGCGCCAGAAAAAGCCGGAATGTAGAAACGAACTTTTGATAAAATTCTGACATTATCTTGTCATGCGGACGACAGAAAATGACAAAAAGGCTCGATTGCGAAGTCAACACATATGCCTTAGCGCCAAAACGTGCGAGAAGTGTTCCGGCTCTTTCTGGCGCTTTTGGGCTTCTTTGGGCTTTTTTCGGCGAAGTATTACGGGTCCCTTCGGAACTAAAATCATTTGCTGAGTTTGAGCAAATGATTTTCCATTTAATCTTTTCGTTTTTTCATCCATTATCATTATCCGAACCCTCTGTGTCAGAACTCCAATATTTTTCCTACCCCAATCGAATGATATGTATCAGATTCACATCACAAATTTTTCCTACTTTGTGCATGCCAGCGAGCAAAGGGATACCGTTGAGAATTTTTACGGAGGCCTCACTCTTACCTGTGCTCAGGTAATTCGACAAAATATGTCAAATCATCGAAATCAATATTATTTTCAGTTAGTAGACAACGAACCTCGTAGCTTAGGATTTATCTACAACATCGACTACCTGTGCAACGATAATGTTCTTGAAAGATGTGAGCATTTGATTAAAAAGAATCCTCAAAATTTCGAGATAAATCGCAAATACGTGGGGTGAATCATTTCATAAATTCAGACAAACCATCTTTAAACTACGAACAATATGAACGATTAGATAACACTACTGAACTTCCATTCAAATTGAGCAAAGAAAATCTCAAGGTTAGACTGAAATTTCAAAGTATAAACTATTTATGAAAGAACAAATTATTTTACAGATAGATGTAGCTTGGGAAGACTGGTCTTGCTGCTCGGCCTGCTGTTGCTCAGTAGCTTTATGCGGCTTGTATGCTAACGAGAAAAAATGGTATTTACTTTACGAATTTGAGTTTTTCAAGAACAATTTGAAATTGAATTACTTTCAGCCATGAAGTCGATTCATATAGAACTAGAAGAGGTTTGTTGTCAGTGTTTCTGTTAGATCCCAAGAAGAAGGTGCAATATTTTCACACTTTATTGTACCTAATGGAGTGAAAAAGTTTTAGGTCAACATTAGAAACAAAACCGTTTCTGCTGAGCTTAATAAACTGTTTCGTATTTCACCGTATCGAGAAAAAGGCTTTGTCATCTATTCATCATTCATGTTACGTCAACCTCGTTTCAAGATCCATCTTTTCGAGGAACATTTGAGGGTAAAAATGCTCATTTTTTGCTGAGACCTTGCTACTAATTGCGAGTATTGATGGTGATGTTCCATAGGATCCACTGACATACTTTCTTGGAAAGCGTGGACATGATGAGTTCGATGACTACGCTGGAGTTGGCATGTTTCATGAAGAGCAGGACTGTAGTGGAATGGAACAGAAAATGAATTGTTCAGTATTGGCTGCTTGCAGAGGCGAAATTGTTGAGGAGGTTTGGTTTGCAAAGAAATTTTTTAGGCAGTTGATCTTCTTCTTCAATTTCTGAATGGACTAAAATTGATTTTTGTTAGTACTAACCAAGAATTTATTCTGATACTTTATCTCTTTCTTCCATACCCCTTTCCTGTCCTTCTACGTAGCGACTCCACCAAGTACTTTCTGTGTGACTAGTTCTGCAAGAAATTTTATGAAAGGGGGAAAATGCTGTAGAATTTTCTTATTCTTGATATTCTGTATGAATTACTATCTAGCCTCCTCCACCCATCGAGGAACAAGTTCCTGTTGATCCTTGCGCGGATCTACCTATTGTGACCCTGTCAATTAGTGAAAGCAGCTCTTCGTTCAGGTGAGGATGAGGGATGTAATATTGCAGTCTTACTGTGGTCATACGGTACCAACAGTTATACTGCAGATATGAGCAAAATACCAGCTATCGACTACGCATTGATGGGCTTGATATGGAAACCTTGAAAGCGGTTTTTTTTTTTTGAATTCACGTGTCCTTCCTAACTTTTACTACAACAATCAGGTGACCTGGAAAGTTGGAGGAGAGCGGGTTAGGTCTTATGACGAGTCGAGGCCATGCGATGAACAAGGTATTTCCGTGCATCAGAATGGAGTTGACCTACTGCTGATCGACGTGAACGCCACTGAAATTGTTGACAAAGTCTTGGAGGCGTTTACAGGCAAAAGAAGGTTCAAGATCCATTTTGTGGTTGACAAGTCAGTTTGCCTTCGCTATGAGATTTCAGCGCCAAGCGCGATGACCGATAGTAATTCTACGATTATAGAGAAGAAGACGTAGATGTGCCTGATTACCGCTATAAGTTCATGATTGCTGCAGTTATAGGAGGTATGAATCAAGTGAAAAACTTTACAGCGAACATCAAAAAGAAAGCCTAAGATATAATGGATTATCTTATTATTAGGTTGGAAAGAAAAGAATGTCGCTTTTTTGGGGTTTTCGGTTAAAGTTAATATTTCTCAAGAACTGGGGCATATCCATGGTTATAAAAGTTTTTGAATGAAGTCTCGAAGGTTAGTAGTACACAACGGCATAGAGTTAACCATTTCGATCTCAATTTTTTCTTAAATTTTTTGCAAGAAAGAGTTACAGCTAATGTACCTATGGACAAGTGCATGCGCCTCTTATAGGCAGGAGTAAGTGAAGGCTCGTAGGATTTTTTGAAGCAGAAATCCGCTTTTTGGTATCTTAGGGTGTTCTCATGTTTTGCTTCCAAACTTTGAGTGAATCACGACTTCTGCCAATTTCAAAGGTCATCTTGTAGCCATCTTACTCTTTCAAATGGACCCATCACATAACTATATGGATCCGCCTTATTGCTTTGCTACAAAAAAGCGACATTCTTTCCTTTCCAACCCAATAGCTTTTTCTCCAGAAAGCACAGAGATCAACCCCGAATATAGATTTTTCTCACATGCCAGCGCGACACATATAATTCATTTTGAAAAAAGACTCCCTACCGCATAATCTCGATTACAGGTTGCGCAGCATTTATATTAGCTCTGATAAGCATAATACACAGTTTCGTATGGAGAAAGAGACCGCAGCCTTCGATGGCAACAGAGAAATCTCGAACAAAAACAAGAACTGAACGTTCCAAGCGTAAAAGGAAGCGGCCTTCCCGAAAAGTGCGAGTATAAACAGCATCAAAACATAAACGAGTGTAACTAAATACAACGTAATTAATAAAATTGTTTCAAGTTTATTTTATTACATAAATAATGAAGACATATAAACAATATCTATAAACTTGCAAGTTTACCCGCAATGTTCACTACGTCCTTCTTGTTCTCGTGACGTCTAATGAGCCGGTGCCAAGTTTCCTTTTGCGAACCTTGAATATGCTAGTTACGATGGAAGAAGGAAAGAGTTGTAAGAAATCATATACTTCTACTTAGTTATCCGTAATACAAACTCACATGAATACAGATAACGGGTAACCAAAAATCAAAGCATTCTAAAAAGCATAAAATTTTCGAAGAAACGAACCAGGAGAGGGTTAGCAGAGGACGAGGTGTCAATGCAAGCCGTGATTCGCCGCGTGGTGGCTGGTGCACCTTCATCGCCCGTAACTTCTTCAGGGTCCAGCCCATTCTCAGGCACTGTCGAGATTCGCATTCGCGGTTCAATTTCAAAAGGCTGAATAAAGTCAATTCAAAATAAGTAATAGAGTGTTTTATCATGCAAAAAACGTACCTCTTTTCCTTCCTCAACCATCCTATTACGTAACGTTTCAAGTTCAAACTCGGCTGTTTGTAGAGTTGACTTCAACTCCAGCAACAAAATAATCTGCGATCGAAACTCGTTATAAGCAGCTACAATCGCCTCTGTGCCCATAGGATTCATATCTACAAGAAGTATGAGTGGAAATGGAAATTAAAAAATCTTTCACGTCCATGGCAAACTTACCCAGTTTGCACTTGCTCAAGACCACTTCAATGTTCTTCAACTTCTTTTGACCAATGTTTGTTGGAAGCTTCATCTCCTGACTTCGCAAATGTGCACCAGCTGATTTGAATTCAGGGAATCGGATAGCAGAAACAGAGATATCCACCTTAAATGATGAGAAAGGAACTATAGATAGTGGAAGGAAGTAGGTAATGTAGGAAAGAGTCTTACAGGGTTGAAGTTGAACGTTGTCGTGCTATTCGCTGCCGCTGAGCTAGCTTTTTGTCGCATAGTGCCTTTCTTTTTACCCAAAGCAGGCGACATACATGTTCCACTGCAAAATCATAGAAACAGTGATGATTTTTTTGAAAAGATATACTGAATCATAGAATGGTAATAAATACACTTTCCGATAATACACTAACACATCCTCACCTGACTGAAGGGCTTGCTGGAGCTTCAGCCATATTAATAAGCTTTTGCAAGTCCTGCGCTTTCTTCTCACGTTCTCTCTTACGAACTTCAATACGTTTCAATTCCGCGAGCAACATTTCCTCCTCTTCCAGCTAAACTTAACTGTCAAACATGATAGACTAAGATAATAACCGAACCTGCTCCTTTGTTCGATTCCATTGCTTATTCAACTGCTCCTTGCGTCGCCTCTCATGATCCGCGTCAAAGCAGATGGGCTCGCAGTTTGGATCCTTAAAAGACAGGTGAGTAAAAGAGCTGAAAGATTTGGTTCATGATACCGCAAACTGGCTAATAGGTAAAACGTCAATAATTGGTAAACATTTGCAGGAAAAGAAAATCAACACAGATACAAAAAAAAACGACAGATGCGAAGATAAATGAAATCAGGATGAACATATCATAAATATGTTACCTTGAGTAGGGCTAGCTCATTCGTAATGGCGTAAAACCGATCCTTCAAATCTTCCATAGATCGCTGACCATACTTCTCTTTATCAAAGCGATCATGCACGATGGGCCACCTAGAAGATGAAAAATTTACAAAATTTCAACAATAGATTGGAAAATTCTGACCGGATGTCGAAGCGACGACATACATCAAAAAGATGTCGTGTTTCTTCCAGTGTCCACTTTGCTACTTTGAAGTACTTTTCATATTCCTCGTCGGTAAAATCAGGAATATTGATGACCTGTGAACATCCATCGAGACTGAGTTTAAGATAAGAATATGCATAATCACCTTATTGAACTTTGCAAATGGATACGGTTCCGGATTCTCAAGTTTATCAACTCTTTGCCAATGATATAACTGAAGATTATCGTTGCGAGCCTCGTTTATAAAAGGCACCCACTTGTACTTCCGAGCAGGGCGTCCAGCAAGCTAAAAGTATAGACTCAAACAACTACGAGAATCTTTGTAAACTAAGGTACCTGGGCATTCAGTTGACGAAATCCCTTCCTGATTTCTGTCGGAACCACTGCACCAGCTTCTTTCGTTTCAGCATTGCCGATTAAGTTGTATAATTCTCTATGCATTTTCTCTGGCCTTTTGAACGTTTCTGGACGTTTCGTACTAGACTGAACGGAAATATAATGATATAAAGTAAGAATTACCAAAAGAGGATGCTGAACTACAAGTAGTACCTTCTTATGTCCCATAAGAGACAATGGTTTGGCAGTCGGATCATCCTTTTCCTTGGTTTCTCCAGCAAGAATCGACTTCACGTCACCAATCATCTAGAAAGAAATTTTACGTTCTGAACTTCCATAGAAATGGAAGAATAGCAACATTGGAACAGAGATTCGGAGGCAGAAGAGAGGAAAAAAGAAGACCAACTATCCGAACTACAACAAATCACAAGCAGATTAGTCCAATCCTTTTTTACGATTGAGACATCTGCTTAACTAAGATCTTTTTGAAAATCTGCGATATATTTTCCCAAGTTGTAACAATGTGAGATAAGGTTCATATTAAATAAAATAATTACAGAGGAGATTACTGCAACCTTAAGGCCCTGGCCAGACTTCGCTCAAAAGCGCCCAAAAGCGCTCAAAAGCGCCCAAAAACGCGCAAAAGCGCCCAAAAGCGCGCAAAAGCGCCCAAACTTCTCTAATCTCTCCTCACTCTCTCTCATCTCCCCTTACACGAGAAAGTGAAGAGACACCAGAGAAATTTGGGCGCTTTTGCGCGCTTTTGAGCGCTTTTGCGCGCTTTTGGGCGCTTTTGCGCGCTTTTGGGCGCTTTTGTGCGAAGTCTGGCCAGGGCCTAAGGCCCTGGCCAGACTTCGCTCAAAAGCGCCCAAAAGCGCTCAAAAGCGCGCAAAAGCGCTCAAAAGCGCGCAAAAGCGCCCAAATTTCTCTGGTGTCTCTTCACTTTCTTGCGTGAGGAGAGATGAGAGAGAGTGAGGAGACGTTAGAGAAGTTTGGGCTCTTTTGCGCGCTTTTGAGCGCTTTTGGGCGCTTTTGGGCGCTTTTGGGCGCCTTTGAGAGAAGTCTGGCCAGGGCCTAAAGGTTTAATGCGAATTCCATAATATCAAAATATTCTTTCCATTCTGATAAATGGCCGCTGTGTCAAGAACGTAAAACTATAAAAAAATGTGAAAATAAACAAACGACGACGGAGATAAACACACTTGAAAACAGGTGTTTAAAGGGCGAGATTCACAGGTTGGCGGAGTACGGTAACTAAGGTCGGCTGAGTATTTGACGGCGGCGTTGACGAGGATTTACTTATCCGTCCCCTAATTTTCCTGTAAGTACTTCTTATTTCGAAGGTTTATTGATTTTTACTTGTTTGTCGGAATAATAGGCTAAGAATCATCATTAAGTAAACCAATATATAGCTTTTTCGCCAGTTAGGAGTTTATTCCAATGGTGTGAGAAGTTTCAGTACCTGCTGTTCTTTATCATTCTTGTTTGTTATTTGCGATTTGTTATACCAAAGCAAACGCTTACAGGCCTCAAACTGGAAGAAGAGCACAGAAAAGCTTGGACAAAAAGATAGCATCTGTTGTTTACCGAGTTCAAGTGTACTGCAAATCAAATCATGGTTGGTCCTTTGACATTTATCATATGAGGTTTAGCTTCGACATTTGTGGAGGCTTGCCGCCAGCCATCTTCCATGTTATAGGCTGGAATCGCATACAAGAATGAGAAGCCTTTGGCCGACAATACTGAGCACCGTATTCGTCTCACCCTTACTTCTCAGGACGTTAAATCACTCGAGAAAGGTACGACATGAAATTGGCTTGCTTTTCTTTCAACTTGGTATTCATAATGTTAATGTTGAGGGAATATACATTTTCCTTTTTTCTTTCTATATTTGAAGGTTTTCAGTAACACGTAACGCAGAAGTATGTCATTTCATGTGTTTTTTTTATTGGAGTTTTGCCCTTGAACCATGAGACTGTTACGTGCACTTGAAAACATCATTTCATCAATTTTATCACGTATTTGTGACTGATGATTTAAGAGTGTGTAATGAATATCTAAAGAAGCTTCTGAAGTGTCTTCAAGACAAACGCCAACTTGAATCGATGAGAAAAAGTGGAAAACCTTGTATATCGAAACTAAACTTTGTATATCTGCTGCCACGTTTTTCGTACAATAAGAAATTCTCAGGTTTCTTCAGTTGCCTACGATAAATGGTATCCGTCCCGATAGTGACTTCTTGTGGATTACATAGATATACGAAGGAAACGTTGTTTTTGCATGAATGGGTTGTTATTAAACGTGATGATCACGACTATCATGTCGATTTTTTGCTGCAGCGACTTATGGTGGGAACTTTAGATGAATGATGCGGATCCGCTCCCATAATGATATTTTGTTTGAACTGCGTAAGCAGTGGTATCAACGCAGAGTTACTGGGTTTCGGTGCTTATAGGGTGTTTGAGGTTTCGGCGCTACCTATTAAGTGAAATAGCAGTCTTCAATAGGGTAATTTAGGGCATTTACGAGAAATTTGCGTTTTTTTAATGAACTTATCCTTCTTATCTTCTTTTGTTGGGTCGTCGGGTCGTGTCACTCATATGCTTAGGCTTCATTGGTTTAGATGTTCGATTCTCTTATTTTTTGGACTATATAAGAGCTTCTCACTCACATTTTACGCACGCTCTTTTACTTGTGAAGACATGGATTATGAGCTGTTTGTATTTTGTTTGACAACATACTTTGCGTCAGCGAAATCTTGAAATCGATTCAAGATTTCGCTGACGCAGCTGATTGTATTTTACGAACGCAGCTTTCGCTTGTTTGCATTGGTACTTTGGTACAAACAAATGAGTGGTTAGTTAATTACATTGCATCCAACGGAACGTGTAGGAAGGCTTATCAAGTTCAGAATTTGCTGCTGATAAGGTTCATGGAACCTCCTTCATGCTCCTGGAACTTTATCTGTGCCCTTATTTTTCTCTTTGCTTTCGTAAAATCATTCTGCTTTGGAGTTACTGACAACCTCTGACGAAAATCCCATCTTTTTCTGCTATAGCAGGAACTCATTTTGGTACTTCAGTGTGCGCTCAACTCATCGAGGGAGCAAAGAATGAGAACCTTGTTGTGAAGGGCCCCATTCGCCTCCCAACCAAGGTGCTCCGCATCACTACTCGCAAAACTCCTTGCGGAGAGGGATCCAAAACATGGGATCGTTTTCAGGTAATATTCTTTATTCATTTCATTCTTATTTTACTTCATTTCCGTTTTTTGTTTACTGAACGATCCGTGATTACTATCGTTTGGTCCATGCTGTTTTTTCAGATGCGCATTCACAAGCGTCTGATCAACCTGCATACACCTGCTGATCTCCTGCGTCAGATTACCTCAATCTCCATCGAGCCTGGAGTCAATGTTGAGGTTACTCAGGCCAACTGAGCGAGAATCATCAGGTGGACAGGAATAATTGTTTGCACATGGCTGCCTTGTTCCTTGTTATCCGCCATTAAATTGATTTGTTGTCTTGTTCTCTGTGTATATACACATAAAGAGACGTTGATTCTAATTTTGCTACCTAGTGTTTGTTACATAAAAAGATTGGGTACTGTTGTTTCACAGTAAACTGATATCGAGCGTCATTTGTGAGTGATCCTGAATCACAAAAATGCTTCAAATGATCTTCACGTGGAAACCTCCATGTTGGGGTTCGGCTGCTGGGTGGTAAGAGCATACTATAAGAGCTCTTTTTCCTGCCATACTTTTCGTTTATATTATCGTTTCTTAGCAACGTTGCACTCGATTGTTTTTTCTTTCTACCTTCATTAGCCCTAATTTAATCCTTATCTAGTTTCTCTTATCGCTCAATCAGATTTGCATAGACGCATTTTAAGTTCATGCAAAGCACATTTTGACTCAAACATCATTCATCTGGACATGACTCATACTTTGAAACCACGTGCACCGCTTGTGCGGCGTCCTCTGATGCGCTGACTCAGTCACGTATGAGCCAAGGCACTCACTCCGTTCCGTTCAAGGTTCTTCGAGGATATGGCTTTCTCGTGACTTCTATCATTTGATTTGCACACAAGTCAAGCTTCTTTACGTTTATGTCTTCTTGGGTCTGCATATTCCCCTCTTTACGGATTTACTTGGTGAAATTTCACGTTTTTTTTCCTTTCCAAACGGAACACCTGCGTCTTCTTTGTTCGTGTCTAACTTCAAAAAGCGCAAATACACATTCTTTGTGCTCTTTCTTTTAAATCTAATGAGAACCAAATATTCCCCTAACAGTTGCAAAGTCAAGCTTCTTTTCCATATTTCTTTGATCTTGTTATCACAATGGTCTTTTTCTCGTATTTTTGGTTACAGCCAATGTCTTTTCATGTCTTTCATGTCTTTAACGGAAAATAGTCCCATGTGGTTTTCCTTATGGGAAAGTTGGGGACTCAGTATCGCATAGTGTTGTGCAATTTTCTCATAATATCAACGGAGGTGTTTAGGGACTACTGTCTATTTGCATCAGCCTGATTCGTGGCTTTTGGCTGCTTTGTAACTCAATTTCGTTTTTTCCTGCTGTGAAATAATCTTCATCGTGGGGCCATTGATTTCCTATAACTTTCATGCATATACTTGGCTTATTTTGAAGCTCAATGCGGAAAATTTTACAGTGAAGGGAGAGTATTTTTTCTTGCATCTGTAGAAGACGTGAATCTCCACAGCTGTGTCTGCGCGTTATTTTCGCATAGAATTTATGACTGATTCTTTTGATTTCGCATTTTATTTTCCTGTGTGTTTGGTATCTCGTCACTTTTTTTCGTTCTATCGCTCTCCCTCTCCCCTTCCCTTCTCGTAATTGTTGAGTATGTTAGTGCAAAGCAAGAACAACACAAAAAACACATGCGGGCGTTGCAAGGTTAACCACACTCAAAAATGACATTTTCAAGAGATTACTTGAGGTCTGTATCTAAATTCATAGGCTGTAGAATTCGTTGTGTTGCAATGCTGCATCCGATAATGTTTGTTGAGAGTTTTTACTTTTCCAGTGGTAACCAAGTGATCAAAAACTTGGTGGGTAATTTTTGGTGATAGCACCAAATCAAAAAGATTGAGAACCATAAATTTTTCATTTGCTACAACTGATACGGCTTCAAATTTCTGAGTTGAAAAGAAAATTAAGTCTTTTTTAAGACTTCGCGGAGATTGAATACTAACAAGGATTTCTGCAATATCATTTGACAGCAGGGTGTGCAAAACGACCCTTGAACCACCTAAAGCTCATAGTTTACGTGAAGTTTGAAACAAAACCGGGTATTTTAAAAAAATCGAGCACATGCTCAAACGTGTCCTAGACAAATGCACTGTCCATTCAAAAGATTGATAAATTTCCTTCTTACTTGAAAAAGAAGAAATTAAATAATTAAATTGAACCTTCGGAGTAAACCACTATCATAGTTATCGTTCTCAATAGTCTCCGGCCATCGAAACTAACCTTTAGCTCGAAAAACCCTAAAGGAAACGTTTTTCTTCTAAACGCAGTATAGAAGATCTGATAGTGAGTGCGATCTCGTAAGAACGACTACTTCGCAAGGAGTAATTTTGGGATGGTTTCGGGCTTTTTGCGACTCAGAAGTTTCCATATCGAATAGAGTATACTGAAAATATAGACGTACGAGTATGACCATATGGAATGGTTACTAAGGCCACTTTATATCCTAGTTTTTCCTGAAGTTTGAAAAGTAGCGAGTGGACTTGTTATTCTTGAGCAAGAAGTCCTCTTATACGCATCCTAATTAAAGGGGTCCGTTGATAACTCTTTCGCCCTTGAGGTACCATTGTGTAGAGCGGGTTCAACTTACAGGGGAAGGATACTTGGATGCCGTAGCCAATCATAATGATTTGTATACCAAAAAATGTGCTTTTGAATACTGGTTCGTAGACTGTCTTTCATATCTGCGAAACGATAATTTGAATAAAGTTATGATTTTTTTTTTCATTAAAAAATTGCGTTCCTGCGGAGGGTCAAAATCATCAATAAAAATTTTTTCTTTCCTTTCCAAATGCTGAGTATGATCCAGATAGTCTAAATAAATATTACTACGTCTAAAATTCTCTTCAGTAGCATCAAACGGTAGGCTAGATCAAATCTGGTGATTTTTTACTATCCAAAAGTAGCCTAAATTTTCAAGGAAAAAAGTTCATAACTTTCTTCAAAAGATCGTTTCGCAGATTTCGAGCACAGATTCAGAATCTGCATTCAAAGGCGCATTTTTTGGTATACAAATCATCAGGAATGGCCGCGGCATCCAACTATCCTTCCCTTGTTAGATTTAATGTATGGAGCAAATCACCAGTCACTCATCATTACTCAACGAACAAACAATGTTCACATCTTTTTGGGACACCCTTATGTTAGGAAATCCACATATGCCTTTTCGGCTCTAGTCCAACGTAGTGGGAATTGAACTTTCGTGTCCAGAAATATCGGAGATCCGGAGGCGCAGCGAGCGGTAAGGAATCAAAGGAGTCACTCTTCGTTACTCATTAAAGGAGAGCATTCAGCTATGTTAACTGTACAGTGAAAAGAAATAAATTGAAAGCCGTTGTTCTGGGCTGTGAAACAGCCTGCGTCATTATGAGCCAATCTAGTTCAGAGTACGCACTAGCCACTGTGGCGCCATTTGTCTACGCAATGTCTTAGGGGGAATTTTATTTGCAGCTTGTTTTACTTCATATGGAGAGTAAAAGCAATCTGCTGAAATTTTTGGCTCTGGTGATTATTATCTGAGATAGTCAGAAAAGTATTTTGAGTAGGCACTGGGACCACAGAAGACGGTATCTGTCAACATCCGTTTCAAGCGATCAAATGTCAGAATTAAAGTCCAAATTTTTTTCTTGAAAGTGTGAGGTAACTAGGAATAGTTACAGAACTAGATAGCAAAATCGATCTTTTGATAGAAAAGCATCAGTGACTCACTGCAAGGCACCGTAAAGATACGCTTTTCTTGCATCTGAGCTTTTCCGTGAATCTACTAGTTTGAAATCATTTTCTTAAAGATTCTCTGGTTGCGAAAATCCGTGATTGATCGCGGAATATGTTTCTCAATATCTGTCAAGCTTCTTTATTACTAGTGGAAAAAATTTGAACTTGTGGTTAACTTTGTTATCTCCATGACTTCGTGATTTACTCATCGCTTTTTTCTATAATAAAGTGCAGTTTGTGCAATATTTCAGAACATGCCTGCAGATGATGATGACGATGAATGTACAGTTTGTTATCAAAAGATGATTCTTCCCACAACAGTGCCTGGTTGTGGACATAGGTTCTGCTTTTTATGCATTAAAGGTAAAATACCATATGGATGGCATAGCTGTCCATTTTTCTGCATTGGGAATTTATTAGTAACTGACATATAGGAGCAGCTGCTATTGGAAACGAAAGCAATTGCCCAAAGTGTCGAGGTGAGGTATCGGATGCCATTTTTAAACGGCCAAAAGCCCGTGGAGTAACCCTTGATATGCACGATCCCGAATCTCCTAGCGTTCAACTGGCTGCGGCAAAGCCGAGTACGTCATGTAGATAGATAACAAAGATAAAATCAAATTTCACCAATTATTTAGGGGTCCACCCGAAACGAGTAAAGAAATCAGACAGTGGTTCCGGTCCTTCTAAGAAGAAAAACAAGGCAAAAGGTACAGATAGTGATGATGAAGATGAAAAAGAAGAGAGTCCCAAAAGCGAGTTAGATGAGGCTGAGAAGGAACCTGATGAGGAACCAATGCCTGACGAAAAGGAAAGGGTCTTCTGGCTCTACAAGGTAGGCAAAATACATACATAGTACCGAAATTTTCTATCGGTCGTTCATATTGGATTCATTTTTTGGAGGATGACAACCCAAATCAAATTCTTTGAAGCATTCAAAACTGTTTATAAACACTGAATTTCTAAATGAATGCTTTTTACCGAACCTGTTTTTATTTTTTACGTTTTGCTAGATTTTTTAAAACCTTTTTGAATGTTGTATACTGCAATATTACGTTTTTTACGATGTCTCTCTACTACAAAGAAAATTTTCTGGTTGCAATTAAGTGATTAATAATAAATTACAGGGCCATAAAGGATGGTGGAGATTTGATCCAAGGATAGAAAAGGACATTGAAGCCGGAATGGAAGCCACTCCAGACTCTACCGATGTAATTATTTGCGGGCGAGTGTAAGTTCGTTTTTGGTCAAATATGGTTATTTGAACGAAAAAATTACTATTTAGGTATGTATTGGACTTTATACAAATGATACAGTATCCAAGAGATTCTCCGGGAAAGATACGAGACATAAAGTGAGTTTTCTCAAATTTCTGGATGCATCCTATATTTTGGATCGTATTTAGGCGGGTAAACAATGCGGAATTCAAAGCAATGGAAGAAAAAGGAGAACTTAAAGGAATTTCTGGTGTACGGGTTGTTTGAAGGAACAAACTTCAAAAGTCAATCTTTCTTCCGCTGCCATTTTCAGTCATCGTCAAAAGGCTTGAAAATCACAATATGTTTAAGTTAGTGCGAAACTTACGCTCAGTTTTATTTGTCATATATCATGATTTTTTCACTTTCAGCTTTGAAGTCCATTTTTTTGCAAGCATAAGATGCTTGCCACCGTTATTTAGTTGTATATCGAATGTGCATATGTGTAAATATGAATGCATGATAGTTTGAAGATGTCACTCTAAGTGCTGATAAACTTTAAATGGAGACCATTGATACTTTGTTGATGTTTTTTTTCCTAATTTGATACCATACTGTAACGACAGAATTCACATCGCATTCATGAGCTTAGGGTCTCTTAGGGTCAAAAGATGCTACAAAGCTGCTTTGAGTAATGCAGATTCCCAGCTCCATTCATTTTCAAGGAAATTATTTTTTTTGGGGGGGGGGGGGGGGGAAATACACCACCATCTTTGAACCACTGACAGCAACGAGATTTTACACAAGTTCATCAGAATCAAATTCTGATAAGTTATGTCAAAAGAGGTCTTGATTTCCTAAGACTGATATTAGCTAAGAGTTCCAAGGTGAAGTTATTATTCGACCCCAGTGTCTTAGCAAAATTTTTGAAAATTTTTTCCGAAACTCGGTAGGCCATTAACGCCGTGATTGGGTCAATATCAATCGTTTGAACTTAAGTTCATCTTCATAGTGTGAAGTTTTTTTAGGGGTCTTCAAACTTATATATTCTTTAAATTATGCAATGTTTACATATAGAAAATAATATTGGGTTGAACCGAAAGTTCGTTCGCACCATTAAAAAATCATAAATATCTTTCTGTCATAACGATTTTGCGCAATTCAATCTTTGTCGGAAAGCGTAAAGCATATAGTTTCCAAAAGTGCTCTGATGACTTTCCACTATGCTTAGTTGCAAAGATAAAAATGAAAGAATGTGATCATCTATAATCCGGAATTTTTGAGCAAGCTTTTTAAAAATCTAGGAACTATGGAATAAAACCTAAAACAAGCAGTTTCACCAGCTTCCTGATCTTCTCTTCCTAACTGATGGACAAGTTTGTGCCGATCGAGCTCTTCTTTGAGAAGTTATGATTCTTAGGAAAAAATGCCAAAAAATAAGTTTCTTAAAAGAGTGATTTTTTGGCATTTTTCCAAAAGTCATAACTTTTGAAAAAAGAGCTCGATCAGCGCAAACTTAACTCACTCGAAAAGAGAAGGTCATAAAACATAGGGTAATAGCTGTAATGGGTTTTCTTGCACAGTTTCTTGATTTTTTGAAGACTTGCTTGAAAATTTCGGATTTCGAATTCTTATTCTTTTATTTTTATCTCTGCAACCTGAGCAGAGTTTTTTTCATCAGGGCACCGTTGGAACCTATATGCTTTACGCTTTCTAGCAGAATTCAATTTGAGCAAAACCGTTATTAAAGAAAGAAGTAATGATTTTTTGAAAATGGTGCGAACGAACTTTCGGTTCTTCCTAATAGCTTCAGAAACTAAGTCCGCTTTCACATAAAATCGTTGTTCCTACTTTTCTATGTCGATTTGCTAGTAACGTCGCAATTTTTATGCCTCAATTGTTTGCATAAACCACAGTTTCACTGCGAGTAAAGTTCTAACAGGATACATGTTTACATTCCTTGTATAATTGAACACATTTTTTTGTCAAACATTAATTCGGAACATTCGGGAACGAAAGGGATGCATATGTGTGTCGATCAGTATGTTGCGTCCCACTGACCTAGCTAGCTGCAAAAACGATGGTCGACGTAGACAGAATACTGGTTTCACCACGGGCGAAGTGGATAAAGCAGAGCAAATTGGCTGCGATATATACGAATTTTTTGCTTTCGTCTGGGGCATGGCTGGGCTAAATGTGGGGAAGAAGCGAAGTTGTGGCAGTAATTTTGGAAAAGTGCAACATTTTGACGCCTCATGCTACTGTAAGAGGGTCATACTTGTAAGGTATACTGTAGCGCGTACTGTACAGTGACTGTACATCTGACATTTTGTCCAGAGTGTCTATAGATCGTTTCCGCACTAGCTGCTACGCCGTCATAATGTTATGAGCGCGAAAAAGTCTAATTGAAATCCGGTTTTTCAACGTCGGGGCGCCTGCCCCGGATCCCCCCGTCGACGTCGCGTCGGCGCGACTTTTCAGGATCCATGTCGCGCGGCGGCGTAGAAGGATCATCCATCGATCCAATGGAGGGCTCAGGTGTGTTTTAATCCCTTTTCTACCAAAAATTCTCGTATTTTGGGCAATTCTGTCATTGCAGAACCGAACAATAGCATGTGTGATCTACTACGAGAAGCTTTTACGGCTACTGTAGCCAGAGACTATGAGAAGTGGGCTTTTAGCTTTTTGCAAGAAGTTATCATCTTACGTCTGGAAGATTCTGCCTTTGTTCTTTTTTGAGTTTTGCTTGGCATACTCGTCATAATTTCCCTTATTTTTGAGATCGTCCTCTATAGTTTTTCGATATTTTTCGCATTTGCTTCTGCTTTGGGAAAGATAAACGCGAAACCTTATGATTTCGTACGTTAAGGCATTTCTTCGGTAATTCTTATCTATTTGACTGAGCACACACTTGTTAATTTCATTATTTTCTGCGTGTTTCAGATTACAGTCGTGCACCAAAAAATGCTAAAAATTCGCCTAAAATATATCAAACAACGTTTGAGTTTACGTTACACATTTTTTAAATCGCATAACAGTTCCTGCATTTACTATGCAAATCAGAGATTTTATCCCCAACAAAATTGAAATCTTGGGTTTGAAAAGTCGAAAATCATGGGAAACGGTCAAGAGGCGCGATTTCTCCGGTACCAACTCAAAACTTCTGTTTAGTGCTATGCAAGTCTTCAAAAGGTACAAGATAAAATGCATTAGCTTATCATCTGTCTGAGGTTACGATTTGGTGAGTTTGGTGGCTTTTGCTGGAAAACGAACCGAAATATTCACGAATTTGTTCTTGACTGCATTTTCATGGGTTCTTGTCCTTCAAAATTAAAGCTTTATGCAGTTATCATATATACTTCCTAAATTTTAAAGTTTTAGTAAGTCATAAAACATTTATTATGTGCTATTTGGTCGCACCTCTTGACATACACCCGAAAATCATAACCATTAGTAAAATACAGTGCCATACAAATTTTTCAATGAAAATCAGGCAAAGCCATATTGAAAAAAATTGAATTTTCTTGAACTTTCTAGCATTTTGAAAGGCTAACGAGGAATTATGATTAAAGTGTTTCTTTGAATCAGCTTGTAACACCGTAATATGCCAAGATTGATTTTCGCTTTGGCTGAAACAGAAAGGCGCATGATTTTTCCTATATAAGCGACCTAGAGTTGTACAGTTTTTGTTACTAGAAATACTTACACTTTTCTTCAAATTGTGGTGCAAGACTTATGGAACCTAATGTTCAAAATTCTTCGATTGTGTTCAGCAAAAAAGAAATTCCAAGCTAATGTCGAACGGCGAGTTCTAGCAAGTTTTTCGCAAGCTGACCGTCCAATTCATTTCCCTAGGCGTGAATTAGGATCTGTCAGTTGAAGAAAAAAGTTGTCCCTACGTATGTCTGGTAGCTTTCTTAGAGATCGAAGAAAGAGCGCACGTTTACACGTGTGTCTGGCAGTTTTCTTAGAGAGAAATAGCTCAAGCCATGAATACTTTGCAGAATCCTGTTGGGAAGTTTGCAGAGACTAATGCACTATTGCTTTCACGTGTTTTGAGAGGACCTTAATGCAAAAATTGTCAATGGTTTCATCTAAAGTACGTCTTTGAATGATGGAGCTGTTATGAACGTATGCGCTTTCATTCGTATCTTTGAATAGCGTTAAAAAATGACTTTTTTGACTTTTATTTTTGCTCTGGTGGAAAGCAAAAAAGAATCAAAAGAAGAGGCTCCCAAATGATTGATAGTGTTTTTATTTGTTCCGAATTAAATGTGTTTTTTATGCAAAGTCAAACCCTGTTCTACAATTCATAGTATGCCCCCCCCCCACGATAGAATTTTCCATAGAGTTTTTTTTCAGAGCTGTATCAGTAGTTCGGTGTGCTGTAGCCACAGATTATGCGTTTGGTGTAGAAGATCTGGAACTGATGGATCATGTCTATGCTTGCATACTCAACACATCGCATTATGATGAAAGTGTGATTGAGGTTGGTGGAATCTTTTTTTCAGAAAGTTTCCAGAAATTTTTGGCGTTTTTTCCTTGAAATTGATGGTCTGACACCAAGTGTAGAAGAGTTTGCACATTCAAAATTATCCTTGTAATAGTTGGGAATATTTCTCGAAGCTTTTATTTGCTCTTTGTACTTGACTCATTTTTGTTGAAAATGTTAGCTCGATGTTAAAAACTCGTCGTGACCCTACTCAAACTCCTGTTGCTTAGATTTTCTAACCAAGATACAGTGGTTTTTTTTTTACAAAAGTGTGTCTTGCAAATTTCTTTGAATATAAAAAACTAGGTGTGTTGGGAATGGATAGACGCCCTCGAACGTCCGCCGCGCATGAAGGATGCTCGGGTCGTGTCCAGTTCGCAATTGAGCATCTACTATGCTTACCATATGGTACGAAGTTATTAGGTTTTCATTTTGCATACTGTATTCTGAAACTTGTTTGAATTTTTTTGGAATTTTGCAGATTTCTCGCGTGCAAGAACGTATGCCTCGACGACCAAATCATGCACAGTCGAGAGCAGACACATGGCGAAGGGTCAAGAAAAGCTTTGAGTACGTTTCAGTGTTCCATCTGGGTTTTGCTTGAAACTCAAAGCCTTCAGCTGGGAAATGGGAGCTGTACCATGATTGATTGAACGATTTCAGCTATCTATGGTCAGCAGCGGTTCAACTGTGGAAGCCGTTCGAACTGGATCGACTGGACATCCTCTGCAGCTGGTCGTACCTGGCATTGCAATTTGCTGACGCTGTCGACGAAGATACTATCGAATTGATCGAGGTTCGATTTGTTATTGGAGAAGATGTTTTATGGGGGACTAGCAAAAGCTTCGACTATTATTCTCTTATATCTGAAGTACAAGTGACTAGCTAGCAGAAATTACATTGATTATCAAATTGTTTGCTCAAATTTACAAGTTGATGAAAAAACTTTGACTGGTCTTACAAGTCTTTATTCCTGCCAATTTTTACCGATTTTTGATTTATTCATAAAAAAAGACTATTAATTGATGTTTGACTTTCATATGCTGGGCCTGTAACTTCTTTGGCTTAATCAAAAAGTTTCTTCAAGTTTTCAAAAATTTCAGACAGCCAAAAGCCAAGCAGCGCATGTTTTGGCCACGACCATCGTAGTCGAAAACGCACATCAAGCCAATCAAAGAGTGGCTACAGTGGAGAGAAACATCAAAGAAACGAAATTGTTGGCGGAAAAACTCGGAAAGAAGGTGAGTGCCGAAATCTTATATATAAAGCTGAATGTGTGTCTGTCTGTCTGTGTCTACGTATGTGCGGAACAGAAATTTTTATTTCTGAACCGATTTGGACCAAACTTGGCACACATATACTTCGGGGCCTTTTCGTTATCGATCGATATCGATTTCATCGATTTTTTGCAAAATTTGAGCTACAGGGCTGGGAGTTGGCACAGGGGGTAATCGAGCATGCTGATTACAAATATATTATTGACAGGCCCGGGCGGAGCCGGGTTTGCCAACTAGTTTCACATATTTTCTGAGGAGCTGGTGGTTTTCCTTACACATTTTCTCGTTTTAAAAATTGTTTTCGCAAATTTCTTGGAAGAGACTTTGTGCTTGGCTGGTGATTTTCTTTTCATCTGGGGTTTTTCTCATTTCAAAAAGTTGTTGTGGCGTTTACAAAAAATCAAGTTGGCTAATTTTTGCTTTTTCTAAGAGCCCGGGATCATGCGATTAATTTTATTTCATTTTTTGTAATGAAGATCATAAATCCAGGTTCTTAATGAATTTTTACCTTCAAATTTTTTAAGTTTTTCAAGTAAGGACCTTGCAGTTTGGTGTAAAAGAGGATGGAGTGACAATCTCGCAAACTTCTAAAGATCCACAGGAAGAAGAAGAAGGCGTACCAGCGAAAAGAACCAAGCATGATGAGGAGTAGAACCGAAGGATGACGAGAAGGATAAAAAATCTTACGATAGTCTTTCTGTTGATTACGGTATTAGTTCTTTCGGTGGTGTTACTACGTACGTTCTCATTGATCTCTCCCCTATGCTGCGTATATTTATACTGACTAGTGTGAATAAAAAAATGTGTACACCGAAATTCAAGTTCAAAGCAAATAAAATGGGTAGCAAAGCGAGATCTTTGGGGTTTTTGCAATACAAACAGGAAGAGATTTGTAGAGTTTGTACAATAGGCTCGGGCTCCGTATTTCTTACTGGTCGACTAGATCTGACAGTGTCGAATCGCCAATGCAAATCTTCTCGTCCACTTCGGATTTCTTCTCCGAGTCTTCTCCTTCTTCCTTGGCTCGTCGCTGTTTTTCTTGCTTGCGGTACTTAGCACGTCGATTTTGGAACCATACCTGGACATTTTGATTTTATTTTTTTTAATTTTGGAGTAAAATTTTCCGACCTGCACTCTCGCTTCGGTAAGGTCGATTCTCATAGCAATATCTTCTCGGGTATAGATGTCAGGATAGTGGCTTTCCATAAAACTGCGCTCCAACTCTTTTAGCTGACCGGAAGTGAATGTTGTGCGGATTCGCCGTTGTTTACGTCTTTCTGACGGATTGCCACATAAAGCGCCTGAAGAAAATCATTTACTCAGCCAAAAATTGCCAGTTGTGTAATGGACATTTCTTTATTCAAAGTTACTGCATTTTTGAGCAGACGATATGCTTCGCAAGAATGATTATTCAACAAGCAAAATTATCGAAAGATCGTAAAAATTTCCTCAGTGGTTGTTCTACTTTTTCTTTATTAAAAGACTTCTTTTTCTGTGACAATGGGGTAACCCACCAACAAGCGATGAACCAGGAATTCCAGCCATGATTCCACTAGCGCTATTTCTGCTATCCGTAGCTCCCATCAAGGAGGATTTCTGATAGAGTTGGTATTGCAGACCTATATGTAACTCATTTTTGTGCCAAATCAAATTGTGGTTACAATGGAACCCATTCTAGTTTGAATGCCTTACCTGTGTTGAAAAATGCTTGCAGTGAATCATGGGTGCTTTGCCGATAAGGGTTTTGTTGAGTGCTCGATGACGATTGTAAAGACCTGGAAATTCAGATTATGAACTAACGTCTTCAGAGTTTTCGTAAAGTGAATTAGCTTCTCAAATATTATACATACATTTTATCAATAGAGTTAGTTAACCGAAAGTATTTAGAGAGTAGATGGAGTCGATCGCCTTAGAAGTTTTTTTTTCATTCTGACAACCATAATAAGCAATCTAGACTCATTTGATATAGTTTTGCTTTTTCCTTGAGTTTTTTGATCAAATTATTTGGCCAGCATTCAAATAATTGCGGTTACCTTGTACCATAAGGTTTTTGCGCAACATCCTCAGGACATTGATGATATGGAAACAGTCAATTAGAGCAAAGCTTAAGCCCTGCGGGGCAGTTTGAGTTTCTGAATCCTGTTGATATTTAAGTGCTATTTTTTCCTCGAAAATCTTGATATGCTTACTTTTACAGGTAACTTGCAGAATTAAAATTAGTTGAGAGTTTTATATCTACTCAAGCTCCCTTTTATGTTTTACTTGAGTGGCAAAATGAAGAAAACTTGCCGATTTCCCGTAAGGTATGGATTTGTGTACTGTCCGTAGATTTGCGTCTGCGCTCCATTAGTGTATCCAGCGCTATTGTTCAGATTGAAATTGGCATTTAGCTGGAATGGGTTAGGCACCGAAGCGTCGATGCCCGAAGCAGCTTGCTGGGTAAAGTAGCCTCCGTAGTCCATTTTGATTCGCCAGTACCTAAAAAAAACATGGTTTGGGATTAGGTGGAAAGATGTGAGAAAGCTTATGAAACGTTTGAAGCAGATTTGGTTGCGAAAGAAACCTGCATGCTCAAATTCTTTCCACATCTTTTCTATGTTAACTATGCAAAAAAACATATTTCCATTTTTTTATCAATTTCAAAAATTGATCTTCAACAGCTTACAGGTCACCATGTGAGGGCATCTTTTTGAAGAGGATAATAAAAGGTTTAATTTATTATCCAAAAGTCTTCTTGCAAATTCTCCCTCATTATTATTATGCTCAGAAAGTCCCAGCTCATCTCACTCATGTGTTTCCAACTGTTAAATGAGCTGGGAACAAATCTGAACACAATTTCCACGCACAGGGCGGCGATTTCTTCCATCAACGAGCATTTTCGGGCAAATTCAACAAGAAGAGATATTTCATAAGTAAAATAAATGAGTTGCTGGCGGTAGAAACGGAATTACCGTCGCGGATAAATCCGATATGCCGCCGGATCACCGGATTATAGGGGTGGAGCCGCAGCCGGTGGGCGGGCCCATGGCTGGCAGTGGCGCGCATCTGATTGGCTAGGGAGACTGTAGCAACAGATGCCGTGCCCCGCGAAGTGATGAATTTGATGAGCGAAAATAGATCTATTAAAATTTTGAAGGGTTTTGGGAAGTCATCACTTCTTATTTCGTGTAATAAGGGATTCCTTAATTTACGAGCATGTTTTTTCCATTGATAGTTCTCTGAAAATCTATCAACTCATTTATAACTAGAAGGAAATAAGTAAACAGTATGTATAACATTCCTCTTCATACTTGGGCCCTCAAATGTAATCTGATCATGTATTACAAGCATTAACGCTAATTCCACATGCGCCACTATGCCGTATGTCCCGACGTTCGTGACACCTAACAGTAATCGCCACTTAAGCATCCACTTGCCGTATGGCTCATGCTATGATAATTTGCTTGTTGAACGCATGGGATTAGCCTAATTCTGGAAACTAGAGAATGAAATTTTTAGTTGTTTGGAGCTTCCTAACTTTGTTTTCCAGTTTTCCCTTTTCAAGAATTAACAAAGATTCTTATTCTCCCATGATTAGTTGCTAGGGGTGTATGTCAAGAGGCGCGATTCTTATAGCTAGATGGGCAGCTTATAGTACATATTTAGTGTTTTACGCAGTTCTAGAATTACTTGAAATCTCAAAAGATATAATTTTGATAATTGCACAGGGTGCTCCATCTCATCATCCTGAAATCGATTCCAGACAAAATTGATGAAGGTCAAAAACCATTGATCTGGTCAGTTTTCTAGCAAAAGTCGTCAAACTTATCAGTTGGTTACCTCAAACAGCTAGTAAGCTATGGAGTTCGTCCGGCACTTTTTGAACCCTCCCACAGCCCTAAACTGGAGCTTTAAGTTGGTGACAGCCAGAAAAATCGCGCCTCTTGACCGTCTCCCAGTTGCTAGTGTTTGGCTAACAAGCGGTCACTTTAACGATCTCAAGACATAGTGCTAAATTTATTTGTGGTTGTTTGGAACCATCATAAAAATGTTTGAGAAGAATCAGATGGTAATACTGTTTGAGAAAAGAAAATTTTCTTGCAGATAATACGAGCAGATTATTTAGTTAGGTAGACCAATCTCCTAGCGATTCTAAATGCTTAGAATTCACAAGGCACGATTAATTTTCCGAGTAGCATGTAAAATTGGTACACCGACAGCCGCTAAGATATTTCAAATTTTTCTAGCTTTTGATCATTTTCGAACTCGAACCGTTATGATATTTCGATCTCCTTGGAATGCCTCAACAGCATCTTTCGCGCATAAATGTTGCAGATTTCGATATCTAAAAGTATAAACTTATTTTTCTTGCCTCTTGGTATGATGTCACTTTCCAGCGTACCGCAATACAACAATATCGCAGAAGATTATTTATCTGCTCTGAGTACCATGATGTGCGTGATGCCAAATTTCTTCAAAGGCTCCGCAACGGCACTTTTCCAAATTTCGTGGAGAAACCATGAGTTCGCTTAGCTGAGCACATGTTGTCCTCCATCCGCACCGCGGCCACCGTAGCTCCTGGCCTAGACGCAACGGCAGCATTGCTAGCCCTGTAATCACATTAGAATCGGCAAATGTCACCTAATCACCCGACATGGATGCATTCGTCCGGGCATTACAGCGATTGTCTCAGCTCCAAATAACAAGTCCACGGACGTGCAACATTCTGCCGGCTATTTGAAAGCCTTGTTAGAGCAATCTTGGCAGAACAGTGGTCTAAACTTATGTGCAGGGAATTCAGTTTCGAAATCTTAAATGGTACCTAACATATTAGGTTGGAAACTAAGTTTTGCAACTGGTCTCATAACTTCCCTCTCACTCAACATGGCGCACTCAAATTTTGCCACTGCGTTGGTTATTACGTAAGCTACAAGCTCGGCTGCTGTCCTACCAAATTCTGACGTCGCAGTGAGGGTTACGGTAGGTGCATGGTATGAAGGGGAAAAATTCAAAGTTTGACGGATTTGGCTACAACTTGGCATAGGGGTGTTATTCGACATGCTCATCACGAAAACGATAGTGAAATTGCGTGATAAGGGCTTTTTTGTAGGATTACTGTAGGTGTACGATATGGGGTCTCACCCTAAACAAGGAAAAGGGCGTTGATTCAATAAATGAATGTGATATTTGCGTTTGGTAGGTCAAATAACCTTACTATGCAAAGTCTCGGCGGAATTTGAGCTTTGGACTCTTTAGTCATTGACGGTCGTCCCCAGCAGCTCTTGCGTACGTCGACTCGTTCGACTTTATGAGGACGCCAAATCTCAACATGCCCCTGAATTTTGTCTCTTTCTTAACAGGCCAAAGGAGTCAAGCTCCAGCAATAATTTATAGACGAATCCGGATTACTGCGCATGGTCTAGGCTGCCAAAGGCTTTATTTTAGCTTGAAATCTCAGAAATTCTCAAATTTCACTAGTTTTTGAAAATCGCCTCAAACTTCTCTATTTCGTGTTCAAAATTTAGACAATTTGTGCTCACTTGTAGCTCACATTGCCTTCCACATGATGCCAAAGTTTGAGTGCGCCATATTCAAAGAGAGTGAAGTTATGAAACCAGTTGCAAAACTTAGTTTCCAGCCTAATAAGAGTGACAGCTACCCTCATCACATACTTCAAAATTATGCTTGGATTTCAGTATAAAGATCACAAGTTATTTACACAATCTGAATTAGTGCGGAAGTGAGTTGTAGCTGTGGTGTCGTTTTGGAATACATATGACTAAGATAAGCCATCTTCATCGCGATAAGCAGGGCAAATTAGACTTACCAGATTTTTACCAGTCTCTCAAGAACATAGATGCAGAAAATCGAATCAATTCTAACATAAAAGGCAATACACTGTCTGCGCACAGAACATTGCTTTTGGATCTATTCTGATGCATTCAGCGGTCAAACTCAAGTTCATAATGAAGAAGAGTTGATGCATTTTGACGTTTAGATCAATTCTCACAGTGCATAGGGAGTCGTTCTGAAATGTCGAGCAAAGATTATGTATATTTAGTTAGGTGTTTCGCCTATCATGTTATCTGTCCTTGGGCTACAGCAAGGGAAAGAGACGGCAACACTACGTGCTACGTATCTCTTATTTTGGAAGAACAACAATCGGTTTTGGAAGAACAACAATTACTATCATAATAATCGTAGCAGTCATGCTTCCATACGATGATATATCAAGCAGCCAATAAGAGCTACGTAGTAGAGGTATTTATCGATCTCTCCGAGAATAATAATATGATTACAAGCACTAATCACTTGCTAAGATAGTTTTTTAATGTTAACCAGATACCCATTGTCGTAAGCTGAAGACCGACATTGCTCAACTGAACGTAAGAAATGGCTCTCCTACTCACTTGAATTTTAAAGATGTTTTTTTAGTCAAATGAAGCTAAAATGTGTTGGTTATGAGTACATCATACTATGTTTTTAACTTACTGTAAGCTGTGTTCTCAAAAAGGATTAGTTGTTTCTCATCAATGGGATTCTTTGACCTCGACTATCGATAAGATGGACAGCAAGCAAGATGGTCGTCAATTTTGTGCCAGTCTTGAAGCCTTCTTGCACTATCTTTTTCATGGCCAGTCGATGTTTTTGAGATTCAATTGCTGTTTTTAGAAAATTTCGTGGCGTATGTAGCATTTGGTAGATTCAATACAAGATGTTCCAAAAGCAAGTACAAACTTTTTAATCATTTATGTAAGGTCGGTGAGTCAGTGCGTGTGTGGACTGTGATCGATGCTGCCACGCGGGACTTACGCACAGCGAGTGCACCTCAAACTTGGGTAATTAAACTTTTATTATAAAAATACTAACTAACCACTACAAAGCGGGTACGATAGTAACACACAGGAGTATATGTTCAAGATGACAGTCGGATATTCTGTGAATTGCTGTGAGGGCTTCCGTGAACTGAAACACTGTGCGGGATCCGTGACAGACTGTGAAAGAAGCAAGAAAATGTGTACAATAAGAATTACAAAGCATGACACAAAGGTAAAACAAGTAAGGCAAAACAAACAAGATGAGACACATTATGTTAACTACGCTCTGTCACCTACTTTTATATGCGAGCGATTATAAACAAAATACCAGTATGCATGAGAATATCACAGATAAGCCAACAGCTAACAAAACAACAGATACGAGCCTGTGAGAAACTTCGCGCTTCTGTCGTTGTTAGTCATGCGGAATTCTTCGGGCGCAAAGTACAATACGAACATGGAGAGTTCGTATACTCCGGCCTCAGTAGACGAGTGGAGTAACACCATTGATGGTGAAGTAGTCGTCGAGGTAGTTGTTGACTTTGACTTCCGTGTCGCTGCTCGTAGCTCTGCTTCTTTTTGGCAGATTCTTTCCTTCGTTGGCATTACATCGAGTTGCTTTGTATCCTTGCTTGTCAATCTCCCGTGGCGCATGAGTTGACCGTCGTCGCAGTCCGGATCCACCAGGATCTCCCATAACAGCCTCCCCTGTGGCTTTCTGTGGTGCTTCGTCTATCTGGACTGTGGGAGCGGTTTTCCACCTGTGGGTTGATTTAGGTCATACTGCATTTCCGAGCAGTAGGTTATTGCCTTCTTTCGGCGACTTCTTCAATCCTCCTTCTGTATCGTATCGGACTCGGTTTTTCTGCTGCTGTTGTGAGCGCCATTGGGAGTTGGACTCTGCTTCCATGTCTGTGAGCGTCGTCCTGAATCCATCGAAAGCCATGGCGAGCACTCCAAGCGTGTAGTATAGCGTTTTCCTGATGCAGCGCATTACTCTCTCGTAAAACGTACCCTGCCACGGTGCGCAAAGAGTAGTATGAGACCATCCTTTTCGTCGTGCTACTTCGCTTTGGAATTGTGTGCTGTGTACCATGTTTCCTGTGGCGTTTCCGGAGATTTGCTCACTCGACAAAACCTTTGGTGTTTTGTCCGTGATGATAGTCCGCGTTACTCCTTTTCTAGCATGAGAACTCCGAACCTCTGTGCTGTTCATCAGTCGTTTCTGGGTTTGCTTCTGTGCGCTGCTCTGTTTCCCGTCAGAACTACTGTGTCCCACATTGCTGTGCTTTGCTCGTTTCGCATTGCGTGTAGAATGATACGAATAGAGTTCGTATACTCCCGCCTCACCGAGAAGATTGCGGCTGAGATGTTCTGTTTCTGTTTTGGGTCCTCCTTTAAATGCCGATGTGATGCTTCTCCAGCTATTGCTTTCCTTTTGAGGTTCCCTTCCGGTTGCGACTCCTCCGAGGTGTCCACTTTGCTTCTTAAAGTTTCGCTCCCTCTTCTTCTCTTCCTTCTTCGACGTTTGCTGTCTTGTACGAGCCACTTCCTCTTGTGTCTTCTTGTGTTCGTGGTGAGAATTCTGTTGGGTAGCATCACTCCCGTTTCTCCTGTCCCGCGTCAAAACGGTATCATAGCGCTGGCACATACTGTACACCCACTCTCGCAATTCCTGGTACTGCTGTTCAACCTCCTTCTTGAAGTCCATAAAGTCCTCCTGCAGTCTGTGGATCGTTCCTCCTCCAGTGTCTTTGCTCGTTTCGGTATCACTTGAAGAGAGAGAAGCCATTTCTGATCGCACATTAGCAGGCTTTACGGGTGCCTCTGTGGAAGTGAGGCTGACTGATGGGTGCGTATCCATATCGGGGCCTATACTGATGGACGAGAACTTCTTCTTTTTTGAAGCTGCTGACTGTGCCTTTACTGCTTTCATAGCTTCGTTTTTAGAGAAGTCCAATGCGATGGTAGTAGGCACCTTTTTCTTGAGCTGTACAACTGCCAGGGTTGCACTCTTCGTTGCTCCGCATGTCAGTATAGGAGTTTCTTCTCCAATCACTCCAGTTGCGTCCTCTACCATATTTGCTGCCGTTACCGGCTGGTTTTGCGTTTCCGCTGCTTCTGTGTAACTTTGACTTTCGGGTGAAATTTTGATCCATTTTCCTGATTTTTGTGGAGTTCTCCATGCAGATAGCCGTGTGGTGCTTTTTGTGGCACTTTCTGCAACTGCCGCTAGGGCATGAAACAACTCTATGGTTTTTCGACCCACAGTTAAGGCATCTGTTGGCTTCTAACAGAAATCTTCTCTTTTGTATTGCTGTGGGTATTTGCGGGCAGGTCGTCCATCTGTGCCCCTTATCTCCACAGCATTCGCAGAGGGTTCCGCGATTCCAGTTCTTCTCCAGGTCTGGAAGTGTTTTGGTGGTTGTTGTGTTGTGTAACGGAGGACCTGTGAATTGGCCGTCGACTGAGAGCATATGGTTCAGCTGTTCTTCCTGTGAGATGACATTGTCGATGGCATCAAGCCATTGGGTCAAGGTCCACTCGGACCTGTGTTTCTCCTGATATCGCAGCCTTTTCTCCATAGCTGCCCTTCTTATGCGTGCATGAAACTTTTGCACAAAGATATGTATCGTTAGTTGGTTATTGAGCTGTTCCTCATGCGGGGGTGGTGCAGGAGGAACCAAAGGGCTGCCGCCTGTATCCGCAGGAGATAATTAAGAGGCGAGCGCTGTGGAGAATATTTTGGCAGGGATCCAGGAAAACTCGGCAAAGACATTCTTTAGGAAGAAATCTTCATAACTTCGCCTGGAGATGACTTTGAAAATTTCAAAAAACAGTTTTGTAATGCAAATTGGAAGGCGCATTCACGGGGCCTAAAGGTAAGTGAAAATTTGAAATTGTAGTGGCAACAAAAGTCAACTACCATATAGAAACTTTTTGTTTCGAATTTTGAAGTTTCAAGTTGTTGAAGTTCGGGGTTTTCATTCAGAATTCATTCTTTTTTCTTTGAGATAAGAGAATAGTTTGCTTTTTGAATCAATGAACCAAAGCAATCAAATTGTCACAAAAACACATCTGGAGGTTTTTGTCAAGATGCAATATGCAGTTTGTCTCATAACTTCAAACCCATTCTAATTCTAAATTTTGACATTAGTGGCTTCATAGGATTTGCCACTGAAACTATATCGGTAATCCTTTAGGTCGTACACAGTAGCAAAAGTTCATCACATGCAACTTACAATTAGTTAACATTATTCCCTTATTACTACTTCATACTTTCAACTTCGTATCCAGAAATTTCACTAAAAATTCAGTTGAAGTCTTTTCCACACAACATTAAGCTTGAAATTCCTCTGCTTAGAATGATAAATTTTGAAGGCACAGTTTTTAATAGAAATCGTTTCGAGACAGAGTTGTTTAACCATCTAAGCTTATCATTGAAAAATGCGCATTTCAATACTGATTCCAAATCTGTCCTTCCTATCCTTGAAACTTGATTCCAAGGAGATTTATAAGGGTTTGTTTTTAATGGATGTCCCCGCCAAGTTTCCCTGGATCCTTGCCAAAATCTTCTCCATAGCGCTAGCCCTCCTAATTATCTCCTACGGCTACAGGCGGCAGGCCTTTGGTTCCTCCTGCACCGCATCCCCTCATGCTCTTCTAACTGTGCGGCAATCGTCGACAGCTTGTCCCACAACTGTCGCTGTTCTGTCGTACTGGGTCCTCTTGCTAAACAGTTGTGTAGGCTTCTATTTAAATCTAAGACGATGCCGTCTTTATTGCCATACCTCTTAACGAGGTGTTGGATTGCCTTATCGTAATTATTTGCTGAGACGAAAAACCGTGAAACTGATTGTTTCGCTTCCCCACTCAGGGATGCCAGCAAATAATTGAACTTTTGCAACTGTGTTAGATTTTGGTCGTGGACATTGGCCTTGTATAGAGCCCAGAAGTTGTCCCATTCCCACTTTTTTCCTGTGAATGTGGGGATAGGGATGATCGGGAGTCTATTGCCTGCAGCTTGCCTAGTGGTGCCGTCTGTGTCAGTCCCGATATCCTCCTGGGCTTCTTCTAGGCCGTGTCCTGTGCTCCTGTAGTTTCATTATCGTCGCCTGGGTTTTCTCTATGTACTTGTCCAGGTGATCCTCCTCCTCTTCTGTGGTCTCTGGAGCTTCATCAAAAGCCTTCGTTAGCTTTGTCAGTGACGTCTCGAGAAGCTCGATGTATCTCTCACAGGTTTTTATCCTCCTTGCGCTTTCCTTGGCTTGTATGTCTGCGAGCGCTTGGGTGGAGTCCTGTAGCCAGTTTACCGCTGCGTCGTTTCTTTTAGTAACAAATCCTTTTAGTGATCTTACAGTATTGCTCATTGTTAGTTGAGTTAGTGATGTAAGATACTGTGATGGCTACTATGCGGAAACTGTGACTTTTACTGTGAGGGATCTGTGAGGCAGCTGTGAGGCGAATTTCTCCGTGACTCGCTGTGCAATACTGTGCTAACTGTGTGGTGAGTAACGTGCGGCTTGTTAGTTGGGAGCGTTACTCGTTAGCAACAAATCGTACCTCAATTCGGCCGATGCACCACTTGTAAGGTGAGTCAGTGCGTGTGTGGACTGTGATCGATGCTGCCACGCGGGACTTACGCACAGCGAGTGCACCTCAAACTTGGGTTGGGTAATTAAACTTTTATTATAAAAATACTAACTAACCACTACAAAGCGGGTACGATAGTAACACACAGGAATATATGTTCAAGATGACAGTCGGATATTCTGTGAATTGCTGTGAGGGCTTCCGTGAACTGAGACACTATGCGGGATCCGTGACAGACTGTGAAAGAAGCAAGAAAATGTGTACAATAAGAATTACAAAGCATGACACAAAGGTAAAACAAGTAAGGCAAAACAAACAAGATGAGACACATTATGTTAACTACGCTCTGTCACCTACTTTTATATGCGAGCGATTATAAACAAAATACCAGTATGCATGAGAATATCACAGATAAGCCAACAGCTAACAAAACAACAGATACGAGCCTGTGAGAAACTTCGCGCTTCTGTCGTTGTTAGTCATGCGGAATTCTTCGGGCGCAAAGTACAATACGAACATGGAGAGTTCGTATAATTTATAACTTTCATCCCATAGCCTTTCGCTTATCGTTAGCTTTCAGTACCTACCAATCAGTAGAACGGGCTTCAATTTAGGCTCAGAGTTTGGAGCAAAACATCCAAGGCACTACAATTCTGTAGGATTACGGTGGGAACTTTGAGCAGGTGAGCCGTCAATGACTACATATTGGTCCTAAACAAGCCGAAGCTTTATCTTTAGGCTAGACTGAGTCGTTGATGATTAATATGACACTTTACCTAACGCATCTTCCATAAGTTATGCCTGTAAATCGCTACAAGACTCTTTCAGTGTGTTCCTTCAAAATTATTGAATTATTTGAAACTCTTGAGAAACTCGCAAAAAGTTTGCGAATGAAATCACCGGTCTGAAAACATTGTTACACAGTTTCCCAGATTTTTGGAGCTTTTTGTTCATTGCATCACAGTGGCACTGTATGCTGGAAGAAGTTTCTGCCATAATGCTACATCAACGAAGAACAATAATTTATTTACTCCGTACTATAATTCTAAGTTGAAGCCTACTCCACTGAAAGGTTCATAAAGTCTCAAAGAGATTCCGTGGAAAGACAGTTAATAAAGTTTAAAGTTTAAAAAGCGTGTATTGCTTTTGGGACATTCTGTATCGCATGCTAGAATGGAATTTAATCCATTACTATTTCCGCGTTTTTCTAAAGTTGTCCAAGGTCATAGAAAGTGTATCAATGGACCGTGTAGTTTTACAATTTCTATAAGCCAATCGCTATCTTCATATTAGATTGTCCCGAAAGTTTTATCGGTTTTTTGAAACCACTATAAAACTGCGCACAATAAACACCCGAATGAGTTCCAACATGCATTCGATGCAGCTTTTCCTTCTCTTTCTATAGGTACGTTATTTAACCACAATCTTTTTCGATATTTGTTAAAATTCTCCATCCGCCAATCTTACCTGGTCAAAGATCGGCTAATTTTTGAAAATTTCATTCTAAAGTTTCCAGAATGCTTAAGTATGATTCTAATAGAGCAATTCTCGGACTACAAGGTTACATTTTTAGATTATCCTAGTCTGCTGTTTATAGCTTGAAAAAATTATTTCTTAAGAGGTCTCGATTTTCGAAGTCATGAAACACGCAACTGCAGCAAATACATGGACATTTACGAAGTTTCTGCGAATTGAAAAGTGTTCCTTATTAAAGATCATTTATGTAATATGACCAAGTTTAATTTGCCTTGAAAAATCAGTTTTTGGAATTTTCGGTACTTTTACATGGTAAATGTAATCAAAAAGTTGCGGTTTTTATCAAATAATTACTTATAACGGATTTGGTAAACGTGGCCCATATAATCTAAAATAAACGCAATCTAACCAAAGATTTGCTCTACATAACAGTTACCAGCACTTTTTGAAAATATTAGTATAAAAATTTTTACATCAGGAAGGATTTGGCGTTACTGCTGAGCTGCTCAAAATCCATAGCGATAACATTGTAAAAACAGGGTATATCAGAGAGAAAATATAGCTGTATGAAAGAGGACAAAAATCTGAATCAAATGATATCTAGCTTGCCCATGGATTGGTGCTCTGTGAGTTTCAGTGATCGATGAAAGAAACCGACAAAACTTTCGGAACAGCCTGATATTTGTCTCTCGATGTATCCCTTCACTGACTCGTCTGCAATCAGGAGTTCATACTATGTTGAGAGGTAATTTTGAACTGGCATAACTGTAATTGTTAATTTGTGCATTCTTTACAAATGGCAGCAAAAGTGGTAATTACTTTCAAGATATTTAGATGTAGTCGTTCGTATAACGTTTGACTCCCAGACCTTCTGCCCTTCGAAAAACATTGTGGGCTTTCGCTCACTGAGGCAAACTAGTACCTGCCAAGATTAGCCAAGTAGTATGTGGTTACAGTTAATGCATAGACCAATTTGTGCAAGTGTCTGGTGACAGTATAACGTTTCTTCTCACAAGTGAAGGATACTTGATCGCAGTGACGATTGGATAAGCGGTGTATACCGCGTATACCGCCCCAGACGGTGATCTCTAAACCGCATTCCATATCTGCTATGACATCATTCTGGAGGAGTTATAAAGGATTTTTGGTGCAGTGGATAGTGGCTTGGACTGCGGAGCTGGACGTCGTGGTTCAATTTCTGGGATGCCACCCGTTTTGCATTTTTGTAGATTTTAACAGGCAAGTTGCAAAACCTGTCGACATCTAAAAAAAAGTTGATCTCCACAATATGAAGCAATATATTAGGTTGGCACGAAAGTTTTTACGTAATTCAAACAAAATTTAATAACTTTTCAAAGACTAAACCTAAATTCACAATCTTGTATGCTAAAAATATTAGAAGCCTTACACTTCATGATGAAGTTCAAGCACAACATTCCATAAGCTAGCCCTCGAGACCGAAGCTCTCAAATATGGGGCTTCAAATTTTGCGATTTTGAATTCGGTGGCAGAAAATCGCAGAGGGCCGCTAGCTAGCCGAAAAAAAAATCTGTAGAATTTACCTACACAGCAAAAGTCTATGCGTTATTTTAGCAGGCTTTGATCTCGCATGGAAATGCTAAAACAAAAAATTTGTGAAATTTCTCGTTTCACAGGGCAAATCCCCTTATCGCTCTAATTTTTCCACAGAAACACAGTTTGCAACCAGGAATTAGACATAGTGCCTATCTAGAGTCTTGCGACGTTTTCTCGATTGTAAAAAAGTGTTTTCGCCGGAAAACCGCGGACATGAGGGGATTTTTTCCGCAAGATGACATATGTCACGAATTTTCTGTTTTTGCTTCACCGTGCAAGATCAAAGCCTTTCAATGTAACATATGGACTTTTGTTGGGTAAATAAATTCTACAGATTTTTTTCGGCTAACTAGCGGCAATCTGCGATTTTCTGGCACCAAACTCAAAATCGCAAAATTTTGAGCCCCATATTCGAGAGCTTCGTTCTTGATGTCCAGCTCACAGAATCTTATGCTCAAGCAACCATCGTGAAGCGTAAGGCTTCTAATATTTTTAGCATATAAGATTGTGAATTTAGGTTTAGTCTTTGAAAAGTTATTGAATTTTGTTTGAATTACGCAAGAACTTTAGTGCCAACCTAATATTTACATTTATTGACACTGAACCACCGTCTAAGCTAAAAACACTAGTATTTAGCCTTTTTCAATAAATACTTTACTCAATTTTAAATTTTACATATTGTGCATAAAAAATCGATAGAAATGCCATTTTTGACAGGTTAGCTGCTCCTCTCTATGTTAAGCACGAATTCGGAGTTTTTCAATGTAAAACTGAGTAAAGTATTTAATAAAAAAAAGTTTAAAAATGAATGTTTTTAGGTTAGATGGTGGTTCAGTGCCAATAAATGTAAATACATTGCTTCATATTGTGAAAATCAACTTTTTTGATTTGTTTTGCATTGCCTGCTAATACTTACAAAAATGCAAAATGGCATCCCAAAGGAATCAAACCCACGACGTCCAGCTCTGCAGTTCAAGCCACTATCCTCTGAACCAAAACTCCTTTTTAACTCCTCCAGAATGGCGTCATAGCAGATATGGAATGCGGATTAGAAATCATCGTCTGCGGAAGGTATACGCGGTATTCACGCTTACCCAATCGTCACTGCGATCAAGTATCCTTCCCTTGTCACAACTTCAGATTTTGGTTTTGAGCCGAGGTTGTTCCGACTAGTTAAAAGCGCACAGTTCAAGTCACCTCTGTAAGTTCGCTACGGTCTTCTCAAAATTTATTCTCGTTCAATAAGCAGCTCATCAATTCCAAGAAAACTGGTGAACAGAAGTCTTTTGCAACAAAGATATTGCCATTTCACATGTTTAATACGGCTGAAAAAAAAATCAAACGAAATAATCTCAAGAGAAGTCTTCTTCTTTTTGTCTTTGAGCAGCTTCACACTAATATCGTTTCAGTTTCATTATCAACTAGCTGGCTTACCCGGCTCCGCCGTATCCGGACCAAACTAGGCACACATACACTTCGGGCCCCGGCGGGTGTCACAGTCCACTTTTCGTTATCGATCGATGTCGATTTTACCGAATTTTATCGATTTTTTTGCAGAGTTCACCTACAGGGGGGGAAGTGAGCATGGGGATTCCGAATACAATATTAGTTTTCAGAATTATCGATTACTTTTATTGATTTTATCGATTTTTTGTAAATTTTGACATGCGAGGCTGGGATTTTGCACAGGGGGGTAATCGAGCATGCTGATTACGAACACAATATTAGTTTTCAGGATCGTCCATTACTTTTATCGATTTTACCGATTTTTTTGTAAAGTTTGACCTGCGGGGCTGGGAGTTTGCACAGGGGGTAATCGAGCATGCAGATTACGAACACAATATTAGTTTTCAAGATCGTCCATTACTTTTATCGATTTTATCGATTTTTTTGCAAAGTTTGAGCTAGGGGGCTGGAATTTGGCACAGGGGTGTAATCGAGCATGCTGATCACCCCCCTTGGGGATGATCAGCATGCTCGATTACCCCCCTGTGCCAACTCCCAGCCCCGTAGGTGAACTCAGCAAAAAAATCGATAAAAATCGATAAAATCGATATCGATCGATGACGAAAAGTAGCCTATGACACCCGCCGGGGCCCGAAGTGTATGTGTGCCAAGTTTGGTCCGGATCGGTTCAGAAATGGAATTTTCTATTCGGAACATACGTACACACATACATACATACATACATACATACATACAGACAGACAGACAGACATACAAACAGACATTCAGCTTTATATATAAGATATTATTGTTAATATCATTACACTACTCATAACATCCTTTTGACAATTATTCCTATCCTTTTGTGTAAGGTTCGGTTTCAGCTGAACTAGTGGTTCTTATCTCACAAGGCTTCGAAGGCATTTGAGGTGTGGAAGAGTCATTACAGTTAGTTTCAGCTGTATAGATTTTATCTGAGGATCATTAGTGCATTAAAACTCGTACATACAACGTGTACTATTATGCGTCCGATGCGATCTGCTTCGGATTTGGTCAGTCACCCTGAAACAAGCTCTCTATCATCTAAAGGCATCTATGTCATGGTTTTTATAAAAGCCGCCGGAAGGCATCAATTCTTCGTGTTGCCATCATGGAGGTGATCGACATCAAACTAAAGGTAGGTCAAAATCTTCTAAGGGTCTGGTTTCTTCTATTTTCAACAATATTTTTGAAATTTTAGGCATATCGCTTCGTAGCGTACAGTGCCATAGCGTTTTCTACTGCCTCTGTATTTTCTATATGCGCCACTCTTCCAATGATTTATCACTTCGCAGAAAATTCAAAAATGCGACTGGATAAAGAGGCAATTTATTGCACGGTCAGCACTTTCCATCAAGAAATCATCTCGGAATATGATTTCTCAAAGATCTGAAATTTTTAGGCCTCTCTACGCAAAATCTCTCTTGCAGTTAGTCAGCTGGATAAGGAAGAAGTCCGTAACAGAACTGCTCGTGCGGCTTCCCATAATCGTCGACAAGCATATGCTATAGCTGGTTTGCTAATTCTATCTCTTGAAAAACAAGCTTCAGATCAATTATCTTCCCAGGAGCTGGAGGTGGATTCGATGGAATAATCTCCAAATGCGCTCCCGGACCACCAGGCCCGGCTGGAACCCCCGGAAAACCGGGTAGACCTGGTAAACCTGGAACTCCTGGCATACCCGGAATACCTGGACAACCACCTCAGGGTCCCTGCGAACCAATGACACCTCCTCCATGCAAACCCTGCCCCCGAGGACCACCAGGACCTCCTGGTCCGCCGGGAGCACCAGGTTTAGATGGCGCACCAGGTGAGCCTGGTGCCCATGCAAGCCCGGGTCCTCCAGGACCCCCGGGTCCACCTGGAGCTCCGGGTCACCCAGGAGTAGATGGAACTCATGGACAACCTGGGATTGATGGATTTCATGGAGAAATCTATCCGATGCCAGAACCAGCAGCACCTGGCCCACCAGGTCCACCAGGTCCCCAAGGTCCACCTGGTCCTAACGGATCAGACGGAATCCATCATCCTCCTGGAGTTCCAGGACCACAAGGTCCAAAAGGAGCACCCGGTGAGCCTGGCCCTGATGGAAAAGCTGGAATACCTGGTCTTCCTGGACGTCCTGGACACACTGGAGAAAAAGGAATCTGTCCCAAGTACTGTGCTCTTGATGGTGGAGTCTTCTTTGAAGATGGAACAAGGCGATAGTGTTGTAGTGAGCGTAATTCGAAATGAAGTTACTTTATGGTTTTTTCTCTGTTACAGTATGCATTTGGTTACCGTATATTTACCATAACTAGTATCCAACCATTTGTGATAATTGTTTTTCACACTGACAGTAACTTTGTAACTCATGCGTCCTAGACTGAACAATTGCACATCCTTAACATTCAGCGAGTACTAATCAGATATCGCCCTATGAAGTATGCAGAATCTCAATTCTCGTAAACCCTGTCTTTATAATACCAGACTTCCGATAGAGCAGGTAATTTCCTAGATTACTTGTTTATGATTTTTTGGTGATTTTTCAAATTTCAATTACATCGATCTTGGTGTATAGCCGTGTATTGGCTATACCTGCTTTCTCACCTTTCCTATTTAGTCCTTTGCGAATTTTTTGCTCCAAGTATAACTATCGTTGATTCATGTGCAACACATATCTACGTATATTGGGTGTATGTCAAGAGGTGCGATTTTTATTGCCAGCTGAACAGCAAATAGCACATATTTAGTGTTTTTAACGTTCTGGAAGTATCTTAGAGTTTAGGGGAGATATCAGATGGTTGCACGAGTTGTCCAGTCTTACTGTTACAAAATCGATTCAAAATGAAAATGTTAAAGGTCAAAAACTCATGAAAATGCAATTGATAACAAATTTGTATTTATTTATAGTCGGATTTTCAGCAAAAGCCTTTAAACTCAGCAAGTGGTAACCTCAGATAGCTAGTAAGCCAATGTACTTTGTCTGAATGTACATTGTCTGGTGCTCTTTGAAGACTTGCGTAGCCCTAAACTTGAGTTTTGAGTTGGTGACAGCCAGAAACATCGCGCGTCGACCGTCCCCCATGTATGTTAGAGTGTCTCATAATTTTCTACCATATTACTCTGAAGATCAGCATTTCTCAAGACCTGGTGCACTTACAAATGGTACACATACGTATTTTATGTATGAGCTATACGAACACGTGTGTGGAAGGAGCTCAGAACTTCTAGAGACGGAGTTTGCCATTTTATTCCATCAATTTTTTCCTGTATTTTTAGCCATGGAAAAAATATGAATATAGATTGAATGTTCGATGTGTCGAGCATATGCTAGAATCAATGAAGAATTTTTGAGATTTTTTAGGGCGGAGATGCGATTTTTAAAGGTAATGATCGCCGAAATAGACCTTCTCGGAATTTAGGGCGTTAGGTAGTAGACCCTACAAGTACACTGTAGCCCAAACCCCACCTGCCAATTCATGCGATAAGTCATGAAAAATGCGACAGAAGTGGAGTGGGGTTTGGGCTACACTGTACTTGGAGTTGAGGGGGGGGGAGGAGGATCTACCTAACTGCACCAAAAGCCTATAAGGGTCCATTTTTCCGATCCTCTGCCTAAGGGTAAGGTTCGTCCAACTGCTATTAAATATCAGCCCAAAGCTTCACTTGGTATACGATTTGTAGAGCTTGCTTTGCCCTGTCGAACGATACCTCAAGCTACATCAATTAAGGGAAGATACAAAAAGAGGACGGTTATAGTAAAAACGGTAAAAAATTATGAGACACCCCAACTTAAAGTCAATAAGAACTTGAATCCGTCCGACGCAGTCAGTATTTTTTGATGTTCTCTGTAAATGATCAACCTTGGTTAAATTGAATCAGGCGATTTTGCGCGAAAAGTCGAACTTTTCGGAAAAAAGCCAGGTTACCAATTGACATGAGTTATTACAAAAATACGATATCAGTTATTTCGCAGTGGAAATTTGCAGTTTGTGAATTACAAGGAAAGTCACGAGTGGAACGAAAAACTTTATGTAGTGATTCGTTTAAAAATCCAATGACCCATTATACTGCACACGGAATTTTTTCTGCGTTCATTCCTGGAATGTTTTCCAATTCACCAGCATGTGAACTACTTTCTTTGTCAATAACATTCTTCAAGAATACAGCACTCACTGTAATTTAGAAAAGAAAAGTGAAGGCTCTCAGTTTTTCCGTTTGAGTGGCCCAATAAAGTCATACGCTCATTAAAGTGATAATAGCATCTCAATGGTGAGTCTGAGAAAGCTTTCTGCTAATATTGTTTGTTTCAGCTACCCGGAGTTCTCTTCTAGCTTTGATAATTCTCTAAAGCTTGCAGTTGTGCAAAGGCACTATTCACAATCCTTTTTCCGCTTGATTCGTCATTTCTCATAGTCAAATTCAAAAAATCGTAGCCAAGTTGATCTAATCGTGTTAACTGTATTTTCTGACGGGCCCGTAGAACGGGTGGTAATGGATGATTGAGTTCCAGGTTTCCAGGTTTCATGTCTTCTTGTAAAAATTCAAGTTTGCAATCTGAAAACTGAACTCTCGTAAATTTCCGTCTGCGACTTCTATGCATGTCTTTTCTAATTCGATCTGACACTTTACAGCTGGTCATTGAAGTTTTCGACATAATAAATTATGTCTTCATTACATTCCTTCACAATGCAAGATTTTGCATGCTTTGGGAGCTAACTCCTTAAAATAAGTTGAGGTTAGAAATGCGCATGCAAACCACAAAAAAACTAATAATTGTAGAAGAAGTGATCTATTGGATGTAAGAGACTTCGACAAGTCTATAGACAGATCTCGATGATTAGATCTGATTGCTAAATTGCAGAAAAGCACTTATTTTCTATGAAACAAGGCTACATCTCCGAACTCTTGTGAAAATTTCACTGGCAGCTTTTCGGTCGATCATGCTTCTTCAAAATTCTCAATGCTTCTTCAAGAAAAAAGAGGAGCAACGATACTGCATGAATAAAGACTCAAGTTGAGCTCTTCTTTCTTCTGTGCACTTGATTGTCTTGTTGACATCTCCATTAGAAGAAGCTGACTCAAAAATAGAATCAATTCAGTCGTAGCCATAACATTCAGAAGAGCTTCCACACAAGTTTCCGAACACTTTTCCAACTCATTAGATGAAGTATCCGAATGCACGATTGCAACAAAAATCTCTCCAGTCACTTATAGCTAATGTGTGAGTTTGCACATTTTGTGCGGCAACCGACGACACCCATCTTAGAAATCCTCAGTAGATCTTTTGTAGCGTAAAAAACTGTGAAATTGTGAACTACTAATTGATACATGTCCAACCAAAAGAGAACAAGGAACAGTGAAAACTGAAAGTGAACAGGTTCTAATCTTATTAGTCGTCAAGCGCGTAAGGTGTGCAATACGCATATTGAGTGCAAATGATTTCAATGATTTTAGGATTTCGGCGAGACTAGCGAAGTTTGCAAGGACTTCACGGGTTTTCAAATCTACCCGAAAACGTAGAAACGTGTTTTCCCCATCAGCTCTGATATCTAATTTTTTCGAGTTTTATCAAACTACTGATGAATAGGTTCATTCTTTAGCTATGGCACAAGCACACTGCTTGGTGTAAGCACCACTCCTGACACCTCTTTTTGACTGCAGTAAAACTTGCAGGGAATCGCTCTATTCTCCCTTGATTGCAGTGGTTTCCATAACAGTTCTGGTCGCAATTCTGCTCATGATTGCTACGACGATCACATCACTAAAGAAAGTAAAGTTATTCGGTGCAGGGAGGCAGAGTTTTGCAGGTTTGCAGATCTTTATGTAAACTAGGGAGGTTTCAAAGAAATTTTAGTGTATTCTTATACGAAAAAGCACTTAATATAGGCTTTCAAAACAAATTAGGTACTATTATACAGTATCTGAGAAAATATATTCGATTTTAGGGCAGTTTGGTTTGAGTCCATAAAGCAGTTTGATCTTAGTCTAAAAAACTTACTGAAATGAGTTAATAGCCTTTTAATATTAAAAAATTTGACTTTCCAAATGATTTTGTAATTTATCAAATTTCCTCAGGTTAACGGAATTTCAGAATTCGTATAAATTGGCCTTTTTGCTAGGTTTTACTCTAAAAAGCAGTTTAGTCCTAGTCTTAAAAACTAGCTGAAATTAGATGATAGCTTTTTTAATTTTGAAAAATTTGACTTATCCAAGTGATTCTTTGATTTATCAAATTTTCTGTGGTTAACAGAATTCCGAATTTGTACAAACTGACTTTTTGCTACCAAAACCTACGCTCTTTATACCTTCTATAAATGGCTTTTGCCTCCAATTTTTGTGGTTCAACTTTACGAAAATATTTTCGATAACCAAAGAATGTCATTTTTTCTGCAAAGGCAATCCAAAAAAGGCGTAATCGTGTTGCACTTCTCCATCTCAGTCAATAGAATTCTCTATGATGAACCTATTTCCGTATGCAAGAGTGCATTCGTCTATCCGCTCATCGGCACTGTGATACGAAATTTCGTATGCAAAACTAGAATCGAGTTTTTCAGCACGCGGAGACAGCCCGAAATAGTGGAAATATCGAGTTGGGAAATTTTCAACTAT